ATGTGCCAGTTTGCTGTGAAGATGTGTAGACTATGCATGCTTCATTGTCCATGAAAACGTGAGGTTTATGGTATTGCAATAAAGTTTGGTAGCCTTTACAACCAGAACAATGCTTTCCCAGGGTTCTGTGCCAAGTGTAGACTGTAAAGTAAATGCTGTATTTACAATGATGCATCGTGTATTTGGTCTTCTTTATTCTCTCTATAAGAGGACGAGCAACATTTATCCATCCTCCATGTTTCTACATCTTTCATCAAATTTTATCCCAATTAAACTTTTAACTTGAGTTTAGAATGATAAAAAAGTTGACAAATTAGCAGGGTGCCCCTATGTCACTGCTGTTCTGTACTTTTAAGTATTGGGAGGAGAGAAGATAAATTCAAGGCGGGGATGAACAGAATTCCTGATGTCATTTTCAATGATTACTTTGAGTGAAACTGTTGATATCTTGAAACAAGCTACAAATTGAGAACAAGAAAAACAGCAAAAGCTGTCAACAGAGTGGATTTTAATTGGGTATTGAGGAATCGAAGTCTGTTTGAACACCATGGTTACAAGACACTACTAATCATGTATGTCTGGAAGAACCAAAAAAAGCAGCTTAGAGGTGGCACTTTTTGCATATAGGTTGAAATGTGTTTCTTCAGAACTTTAACATGCAAAGCTCAATAAACACACATTGTGTGTAAAATTTACCTATCAATGGAAGTTTTTATTTTTTAAAATTCAATATTTCCCGTGGTAATTTACTTTGGTCTGTAACTGGAAATATGATTTATTTTTCTGGTGAATGATTATTTTTAGACAGTAAGTAAGGAATAAATGTATGGTTTATTGAAAGTGCAATGTTCTGTTGACAATATGGCATTGTAATAATGGTATTGATACACAACATAGTATGTAATGTTTCAGGAGTTGGAAGGGGAGGGGAGAGTTGATGTGGTTGAGACAAGGACAGTAGTATGTGTGATATTGTGTATATTTGTTTTACACATACCATGTGTATGTGATGATTTTGTCGTGTGTATCTAGATTACTTGTGTGATGATTTATGTGTGTGTAGATTATTAGAGAAGATTAGACATCAGTATGACAGTAATTACAGGTGACATATTAGCTGTTTAGTATCCTTAGTTCTCACCATTAGCTCTCTGTTATTGCCTCATTTAACAAGCTCTGACAGTTCCCTGGCAACCAGTTCCTCTACATAACAACAGGTACCAAAATGACCTCTCTGGCCATGATTAGAACATAATTTATGAATATTTATCTATGTTCTTAGGAGGATATCAAAACTTTGTAATTTTAATGATGAAGTTGTTTTAACGGATTTCCTGCTAAATATTGGTATGTAATTATAAATATGCAGATTTTACATATATATCAACGTAGATCACTCAAATGATGTAAACCTGGGTTTTACCATAAGTGACTCTAATTTTCAATGTCCCTAAAATAATATAAAGACAAGACTATGAATTTGGTTACTAGTAAAGGATGTTCACACAAATAATGGGACATTCCTACCCGAGAACAGACAAGGGTATTCCCAAAACAAGAAATGGATATTTCCACAAGGAATACTTTTCGAACAAGTGATGGACTTTTCAAAAAGAATTAGATATTTACACAAGAATGAACGTTACAACAAGCTATGAACATTACATAAAAATCTACACAAGGAATGGATGTTTCCACAATTAAATACTGATATACGTTGAGTATTTGAGAAAGGTTTAGTTAAATGATGTACAGTTCCTGTTAATTCCTGTGAGTTCAGATTGTTAGGTGTCAATGGTTCATTCATTGACATTTCTGAAGAATCAGACGTTTATTTGGTGTTGTCAATAGATTGGTTCAATCCTTGGTAATTCCCACATTTCATGGACATGCTCATGAATTGTAGATAGATTGGTTCTCCTGCATGATTGTGTCACACATGAGAATTGTCACCCATTCATTATCTAGGGCTGTAAGTGGGAAGAGGAAGTCAGGGGTAGCACTAGACTGGCAGAAAGAATCATGTTCCAGCCTGTTAGTCTTGGCAGAAACATCGGTCTCGTACCAGCCCATGACCTCTTATAACCTCTTGACAAGCTGGAATCCTATAATTAAGTTTTATCTCAAACTTTACTGGCTTGTACATCTCCAAAGATTGGTGTGCCTGCTCAACATTTTTTTTAAAACCTTTTTCTTCCTTTAATTTGGTGTTGACAGTACCATTATCAATCTAACAAAGATCTGTCCTTGTCATTTACATGGTCCATAAATTGTTTTGATTACAAAATAAACCTGAAAATATTTGAGCTGTATACCCTCTAAAAAATTGTTTGTGGAGTTGAAACACAAGACAAACTCTGAAGGCTCATTTAAGTCATTACACTGATAACAGTACCAGAGGAGAAGATTTTTTGACTGGAAGAATGTCTTGTTTTCCTGACGAGAGTCTACATGGAACATATCTAGAGTTGTTACAAGGGATATAAGTGGCAGGCAGATGAAGGATTGAACCTGTGTGGTTGAGTGTGGAGGGAATGACTAATGGTAGTTTATCAGACGCTTCCCCCCCCCCCCTCCCTCAGAGAAATTTAATACCTATTTCTATCTTATAGACCCAACATGTCGACAGATTTGCTTGTACCGATTCCTAGAAGGTAAAAGGTCAGTTATCACTTACATAGAAATTAAAAGACATCTATACAGTGTTTCAATATCTGGGTATGGAAAAGTATATATATAGCACAGATTGTTATCTGCAAAACATTATATGATCTTTATTAATGTTTTTCCATTAAAAACTTCATAAAGAAAATAGGTTTTTCTTTACACATGAAGTACCTCTGAACAACCCAACCATCTGAATCATATGTAAGATACATGGAAATTTCAACACAGGTTTATAGATATTATGACATTTGAAAATTTCATGCATTTTTCCTGTGATGCTGTGAAGTAGCCTGGTTTTGTCCAGGATGCCATGACAGATACCTATTCTCTATCATCAAAATTTAGGCTTTGTAGGCAACCATTGAAATGTAGACAATATTGATATTTAGCTTCAAAACGAAAGGAAATACTAGTAAAACCATTCCTTGTTGAATACATTTTTCGCTAATAGCTAGTGGAAGTTCTTTGTTGAAAATTGAGTGTAATTTTTGTTGGTTTCATGGTAGCCTAGAGTGGCCTCCCTTGATTTCCAGACAAGATTGGTAATTATGTACCTTTGGCTGAGTGTACTAGTATATGGTGATTGCACAGGAACAACTGCTTTGAACTGTGTTAATAATTCATGCAGCAGCAATATTTGCCAAAGTCAGCAATTCCAGAAGTCCGGGTGTTAAGAGACTTGAAAAGTTCTCTCCACATTAACCCATCTTTTCCAATAAGACTACTTTTATGAGCGTTTCACAGTTTTAGAATGAATTGGATTTCCAGCTTTTCAAAGGTTGTGTATAGGTCTGGCCCATGAATTTCATATTTGTGTTGGAAATCTTTTCCAGTCCCAGTGTGAAAATGTTTATTATTTTACTGTGATTGTCTCCCTTTATCTAGGGCTTACACTAACACCAGTGGAGATAATAATCATCATTCCGTTCCTTATACCCTGTTTTTGCTTTCCTCTCATTTCATTGGCTCTGGTATGTTGTTGTCTTCTCCCAATAGAAACAAGAGATCAAGAAACTTATTCCAGTTTCTAAACTAAAATGAGAAATTCTTTTGGGGTTACGAATGTACATAATGATACATCTCACAGTCAGATCACTCTAGTACACTGCTGTTATTTGAAGTTTTTCCTTGATGTATGTTCAAAAATGATAAGTCCATATATCTTAATGACTTTCTATAAAACCTGTAAAAAAAGTTGTGTGCATTATAAAATGAAAGAATGTTAACATACATACTGTCCTCTTTACACAATTTTGTGTTTTAAAGTGGAGTATGTTATATAAGTTTCTGTTAGTTAAAGATTCTGGTCACATGTATACAAGATCATAACATTATCTAAAGCAACAGGGGCTGTCAAGAGGACTTCATTTATCTCAAAGAAAATGGTGCCATAAACAGCAAGAAATGGAAGAGTGTGGGTTCAGGTTTTGATGACTCAAAATTTGATTTTAATATCCATCTGGATGTTAAGGAGCATATCTCTGATACCTCAATAGCTGTCTTTAATGAACTACCTGGAACCAACCCAAAATGTTCACACTGCACACAGATATATTAAAATAATGGTAAAATGGATAAAATGAACCTAAAAGAATATCTGCTTCAGGTTTTAGCTAAAACTTGCATGATAACCTGCAGTGAAAGTGATGATTAGCTTTTGTTCAGAAGTAGAACTTGTTTTTCTTTGGCTATGATATGTTTATGGGTTGTTATCTGAAACGCTAGAGTTATTGGTCCTAATTGACAGGTACAATATCTCGACACCTATATTTACACTATTTATCAGTGTTGGTGTTTCAAATGCTCCAAACAATGACCGCTGAAGCAGATAGAGCAGTTCAAAGTGGATGATCTTACTCAAGGCATCAAAAACAATACTTGCATGATTGGAGAGAATAAATACATTCTGCCGTTTCTTCGATTCCTTTATGAATTATTTTGCCTTGAATGGTTTTTGTGCCCAATGTAGATACATTGTATCTTGATCCATATACTATCTCCCAATAGATTTGGATGTTTACATACATTTGAATGTTTTCTCACCAATTTCACAGTTTCTTTTTTCATTTCAAGGTTATAAACAGATCCTTTGTCAGGATGCCAATATTTGTTGTATTTCTGGCGAGAAGATTTCTCTTTTTTCTAGATTATTAGTGTTTATTTTGCCCGTAGAATTGAGATAAGGCGAGAAATTTAAGTTTTGACCTAAATGTAGTTGAGTATGCTTGGTTTGCTTTACAAATGTTCAGGGGATGTTTTTTGGCACTTTGGAAAATTTAAACCTGTTTGTTGAAATATACATGTTTTCATGTTGTGTGTTTTATGTTTTACAGCACCAGGAACCCCACCTCGCAATGTCCACGCCCGACCAATCAGTACCACTACTGTGATTGTCGAATGGCTGCCACCAGAGAAACCCAACGGAATTATCAAGGTTTTTCTTTGAATCCAATATAGTATGACAACTGACATAGCCACAGAATCCTTAAAGTCATCGCAACCTTCAACTTTATGGGAAATTTATATTTTATTTTTTTCATACTTTTCATATGACTTGTTTCCTCATACTTTTCGTATGACTTGTTTCCTCATACTTTTCGTAGGACCCGTTTCTTCATACTTTTCGTATGACTAATTTATTCAGACTTTTCGTATGACTTGTTTCCTCATACTTTTCGTATGACTTGTTTCCTCATACTTTTCGTATGACTAATTTATTCAGACTTTTCGTATGACTTGTTTCCTCATACTTTTCGTATGACTTGTTTCCTCATACTTTTCGTATGACTAATTTATTCAGACTTTTCGTATGACTTGTTTCCTCATACTTTTCGTATGACTTGTTTCCTCATACTTTTCGTATGACTTGTTTCCTCATACTTTTCGTATGACTTGTTTCCTCATACTTTTCGTATGACTAATTTATTCAGACTTTTCGTATGACTTGTTTCCTCATACTTTTCGTATGACTTGTTTCCTCATACTTTTCGTATGACTTATTTTTCATTTGTCCTTTTTGTTATAAGTATCTGATTACATGATAGAGGTTTTGCTGGCAGTGGGGTCGCAGATGAAGCTACAATATAAAGTACTCAATATAACAGACAGTAATATCCTTATAATATTATAGTGAATCTACTCTGAAAACGTGATCTGAAATTCAGTAATATTGATTCGGAATTTTGCAGCACACAATTTCTTACCACATGTTGTTTGTTCTAGGTTAAATAGTTCATTTTCTACACCCATTTTGTAATTGGAAGTGATTAATATCTAGATCAAACTATTAAGAGGATCTATTTGAATATCGGAATGTGAATGACTTCTTTAAATGGTTGTGTATATACATATATGACAATTTACACATCCAATTCAAACGTCACATATCTTGTGAGAACAAGAAGTAATTTGTCATGGAACTGTTGATTGTCATTTTTTGTTTTGAAATGTGACATTGTTCTATTACTTGGAAATGATTTTAAAAAATGAAATTTTCACTGAAAAATATTAAGACATTATTATTATTTTCCAACCTTTACAGGGCTATAAAATTTTCTTCACGCTCGATCCTGATCTGCCCATCATCTTGTGGAAACGTCACGATGTCAACTCCAATGACCGAGTAGCCACCATAGAGAACCTGACGCCTAATGTTACCTACACCATGTGCATTCTGGCCTACTCCAGTAAAGGGGAGGGACCTGTGTCTAATCTGATCCAGGTCATGACTCGTCAAGGAGGTATGCGCCCCGACCCCGCCACTGTGAAAGCCCACCGCCACCCTCTAGTGCTATGCCTCCGTGGGGTACAGAATGCCAAGTACTCCCATTAGATCGAAAGTTTTTTTCCCTGTCATCTCAAGAATGATGGACCATGTGATATAACATGGGTTGGTTAATGATGTGAATGGTTGGTCTTGACTTAGCACACCTCCGTTTGTATTCAAACTCAGACTCCGCATCTTTTGCTCGAGGTTTTCATAACAAACTGCATGAAAGTCTGAGTGCATGCCTATGTAAGGACTATGTTAGAATGAAGCTGGATGAACCCCCTGTCTTCACTCACTACCGAGCAGACGACACTCTGTGTCTCTCGCAACGTATTTATATCCAGTCGCATGACAGTTACTTTCTCTGTATTGTTTTTTAATGGATACTATGTTGCTGAACGATATCTGTCAACCAAGAGGTTAATGGGGCATGCGGTTTTCGAACGGGCAACATTAAAAATGCCATGCTATGTTTTTTTTCGGTGATACTGATTATTGTATTTTACATAGAATGCCTGCCGAATGGATAACAGATTTGTTTTGTCTCTATCTGTGTATAGATATATCTATAGCTACCAATACATTTACATACTACCCAAAATATAAACATACCCGTTACCATTTGCCAAGTATGTTCACATATAACCATCATGTAATATATGCACACACCTATGCAGATTTCATATCCTACAAAAGTACTCATCTACTTATTAGATACATATATTCTGTCGTACAAATCATATATCCAAATAAGGCTATATCAATATTAAAAATTTGCATATTAGTATGGAACACAATTTACAGTTTTTACCAAATTTGATATTAGTATTATCACATTTGCATTGCATGTAAAAAATTCTGAAAAAAAGGAAAAAGAACAAATAATTAATGCTTTTTATGTATATATTATGTATACATGCAGTAGTATAATACCAAAATTCATTAGCCAATTTATAGCCAAATTGTATCAGAATTTCAATTCTGTAAAATTATTTCTGTAAAATCTTTTTATACTTGGTGCAGATAAGTTCAAAAACAATTTTTGTTTGCTTTTTTGATTATCATTATCATTGGTATATTTCATATGATTTTTGGTTCCAACCCGTTCACAGTTTTATGAAAGGAAGTGTATTTACATCACTATACATACACCAGTACACCAAACTCTGTTGACAGATCTGCCATTGCCACCTCCCACACGTTTTACAAACTGTCATAAATAAGGTCACTACTGTGTGTTACCTCTGGTATAAATAACCATAATAGTGACTGCAAAGTTCCTTCAGAAAATGGATAAGAGAATAAAGATAGAAGACAAATACCTTTGCTCTATAAAAATTTCCTTTGTAGTGATGAGGCATTATTTATTGAGAATACAAATGAACAGAAAAAAGTTACAACACTGTAATTAAAATAAATATTTTCAAAGTTGATCGTTATCTCACAAATAGCTAAATGTTAATTAAACTAAAAGATTTCAGTATGTACGGAACTTTACATCGCTATTTTATCACACACATATAATATAGATAAGGATTTTTTGTCACAAGTGTTTCATATCTCATGTCACTTTAAAACTAATGTTGTTTATTAAGCGTCCCTCCAAACATTTAACACCAGTGAATGCATCACGATAACATCACGGCTCTCACGTTACATATATACTCGCCCAGGAACTTGGTTTGGTGGAACATCAGAAAGTTTGGCTGAAATAGCATATATATATCTTTCTTGTACTCCTACTGAAAGAAAATTTAATTCACATTAATTCCTTTCCAGCAGGAAATGTATATTTGCTTCTAATGAAACAGTTCTTTGAAACATACAGAAATTCTGTAATATTGAAAAATTACAGCATTATATTGGAAATGGTATTAATATTTTTACCTTTTAATTTTGATTTTTACAATTCAATCTATATTATTTATTAAGAACTCTAAGAATCAGGTTAATTGTACGGTTGATTTTTCTGTTATCCATTTTTTTTTTTTTTTTTTCAAGTTATTCAAACTTTTGAACTAGGATTTTCTACTTCAGAATTATCTTGATAAATCTAGTGAGAATGTCCACCAGACCTAAGTTTTGAGTGACTTGTTTGCCTACTGAAATTGAATGCATTTCAAGGGGCCCATAGAGGCCTTGGTTTTAGTACTCAGGACCCAACTGTGGAAAAGCTTGATGAACATGGCCACAATTGAATTTGAATCATGGCCGTTTATGGACGGAGTTATCTACCTTTGTAGTTGTCTACCTTGAATCATGTTGTTTCTGTGTGTTCAAAGGAACAACAAATTTTCTTCCTTTTTCTCCTGTAAAGTTATTAAATATGTTTATAAGTTGTGGAAGGCAAATATTTTGCATTTTGTCATATGGTTACATTAATTAGCCTTTTTTTTTTTACTGAAGTAGAGAAGCACAGAGTTATCAACACTAGACTAGAGTTATCTACCTTGTGTAAGAGGGTAAAATTTTGGGTCCAATCAAAGAAGGAAATATTCATACAGAAAGTTTTGAATAAATCTCAAAAATGAATATACAGATTTCGAAGAAAAGTTATAAATATCGTCACTGAAAGCAGGATAAATGATAGATAAACGATAAATGATTTAAATCAACTATAAGATTGAATCCACACTGGTTCTCCTGCTACTAACATACATGTGCTTGTGATGCGCGTCACTTGCAATACACAGACCAATCACTGGGAAGCTGCGAAACGCAAAGCCCAAACCTGCTGCGCGTTATTAGATGTCGCGATTGCGTACTGCGAGTGCGCCTATGCTCAAGCTTTTCCACAAGTGGGTGTATGCATTGCATCCTAAACACTGTAGAATAGGTATATACGTACGCTAGACCCTGTAGCTATATATAGCCTGCCACTGGGAGATGCTGCAGAAGTCCGTGTGGTAGTTGAGTCATGTGACTGCCTGTAGCCCAATTATTTTTATTGCGTTCTTGAATGTGTTATTTGATGTGTTTGACAAATTCTGTGTTCGATCCTTCCAGCGCGAGATAATCGTTGTTCTAGGAAAACTTGTTTTCCCGGTAAGTTCGAGCCATGAAGTTATGGCACGCTAAATCTTGTATCTCCAGTGTTCTTCGGAGTTGTGTTCAATATTTTTCTCCAAAAAATTTTGTTTTTATCTGAAAATTTCATTGATGTCATTTTCTGCATGTTTCCATTTCTGATTCTGAATTTCATACATATATGACGCCAAATTTTAACTCCTTTTTAAGTCTCTAAATATATATTGATGTCATTTCTTCCGTTACATTTCAAAGCTTGAATTTCATGCTAATGTTAATTTTCCAGGCAGTTAATTTTTTGATAGCAGAAAAAGAAAAAAAAAACATGAAAATTGAATAATTTTTCTCCAATAACCTAATGAATTACCATTTCTGTAAAATCATAAGTCAAAATCGACAAGTAAGTTTTACTTGGAAAGTCCATTTCACCGTTAATTGTCTTATATGGGTCTGAACAAAATGGAGGACTCTGCATCTGCTCGCTGCCTGCGATTGTTGTGTTTATTATGATTGCATACATATATGTTATTATCCCCGCGCATAATCTCACAATACACGCCTTTGACTGTAGCAACGCATGTCGTAGCATCATTTTTCGTAGTTCGTAAACTGCTCTGCATCTTAAAGCGCGTCTCTTCTACCTCTTTATGTTCACCTTGTCACCTACTCCTTGTTTAATGATAATTTGTATAAACTTGATAAAAAAAATAATTGAGAATTCATTATTTAAATTTACTGATGTTTAAAAGTAAAGATAATTGGTCATTCCATACAAAATAATAATTGATGTCACATGATTGTGTTTTTCCTTGTATTTATCTGTTTTCACATTTTACAGTGACAAACCTGTGTTCAATATTAATTCTTTAATTCATTTTCCATAAATGCAATGAATATTGAATTTTAAAAAATAATTTCTATTTGAGATCATGCCTGTTTACTCAGCTACAATATTTCACTGTATTTAAGCGTAATTTGCACTATAGTTCAAAGAGAAGATAACTGCATCTAACGTATATTGTAAAACACGAAGCGAAAAGCGCTAGCGATTGTATTATATAGAGCTGTTCTGGCTGTTTGTTCACCATTGATTCATGCTGAAGATCTATAGTCTGTATGATATATATCACAGCTATGAGACTATAGTCTGTATCATATTTCACCAATTGCTGAGTAGCCACATAAGTGCCGGTCACTGGTGTTGAGTTGTTCTCTTAAATGTTACTCATTTTAGCGTGATTTTTTCTTTTTCCTCCACCGTACCTGGGTACAGGAGTTGTAGGTGAGCTGTCATTAACAAAAAATAGATTTTTTTGGTTTATTTCTCCCATTTTGTTTTCATTTTGTATTTCAGCACAGACTTTTTAAGTGTTTTTTTTTTCAAATGAAATCAAAACCATTTACTACGGTTGTGTATTTTGTCTTTCCTGAACAAAGGATTTCAGATTAAGGATTTGCTACTAGCATGTATCTTTAAATGGTCTGTGTTAAGTGTTTTTGTGAGAGCTGAAGTATTCAAAAATGTCGTCGGCAGTCTCAACAGACTTATCCTCTTCAAAAGAAGGGAGAGTTTACATTCCATGCTTACAGGGAAAATAGGAGGAATTAATTTTCTTTTTTACCTGTGTTTCTTCCAGGTGTTAGTGCGGGTAAGAATAAGCATGTGTTTGCTTTCTTTTTTGATAAAAAGTGAATTAGTAGTTTGATAATAACTGAATGATTATTGATTTAGTGAAAACAGAACAAAACCAAAATTGATGCATGATGTTTATATGATAATGTCGATTAAATTTTCTTAGACATTCTGATTCATTGACTGCCTGTCCATTAGGATATTTTGGATGTTGAAATTGGACCATTTGTCTCAGGTAGAGGCAGACATTGTCATGTTTTAGCTTGAAAATGTAGAGAATCTGAAGCATTGTTATGTTTCTGTAGTACTGAGGAGTTCAGTGCTGTCTTAGAAATGATATTTCTAGTAGCAGTTATTAATCTACTACTAATTACATGTTAACTAATTAGTTTTGAGCAAATTTGCATTAATAGAGAACCATTTTAACAAAGCAACTTTAGTCTTAGTGTCCAACAAAATTTGTATTACCATTGCAGGACTCGTACTATCTGTTGTTTCAAACGTCTGACCTGTCTGATACAATGACGCTGCGGCCATTTCTGTCCTGATTCAATATTATTACTCTTCTGACTTAATTTCTTAACTGATCTCGATCAAACTTGAAGCAAAGGTCAACACTGATAATACCTAAAATGACTTAATGTTGCAGTGTTTCAAGGTCAAGGGTCATGGTCTCTGTTACTATTTAAAGAAATTTGTCAAATTGTAAGGGACTGTGTATTCCTAAAGTTTCTTACCCAGTAATATTACTAAACCTTAAGTCCCTTATAACATTATAAAGCAATGTAGTGTTTTCTTTTCTCAAGCACAGTGTTGATACCAAGGAGTTGTAAAGTACCATATAAAAATGAATAGGTGAACGCCCTGCCAAGGGAAGTATTTCAAAAGTCGGGAAAAAGGCTTATTTTTGTTGACATATGTACACTGGACAAAATTCAAAATACAGAAAAGTTTCTGAAGTGAAACATTTGAACCTTTCCACAATTCTAGTAGATGCACTGATTTGCCACATTCTTCGGAAATTGATATGTCCCAGGTCTCAAAAATATTCAACTCAAAGTCATCCAGATTATTTTAATGTTTGAATGCTCTCACAATAACACTTTGACCAATCATTTATAATGCAGTAACAAATCTCATTATATTTTGTGAGTTTATTTAGAAATTCATGCTAGCACTGTTGTACATGAATGTGCAATTTTTCATATCAAAGTCATGATATTTGACTGCAGTCATGACTTTCACAAACGCCATACTTTTCCTTATTATTTGAATAAGTGAATGTAACAAAAAAAGAAAGAAAAATTGAAATCATTTGCACATTTTGTACTGCTAAATAATTATCAAAGAGTGTTTTCATTTAGTTTGTTTTTTTTTCTGTCTCTCTCTCTCTCTCTCTCTCTTATCATTTTTAAACAAATCTTAAAACATCAATGACCTTTTTGTTTCATTTAATATCAATCAATGCAACATTCTGAATAATTGCAAAAAAATCCTTACCTTAAGTTTTTTTTTTCTTTTTTTTTTTTTTTGAGTGATTTTCAATTTGCTTTTCCTTGTTCAACTTGAATATGAAGTGTATTATTGTTTGTTTGATAAACTTGAAAAAGAAAGAAAAAAATCTTTAAAATTTCTCAAAAAAATATTAAACATTTACACTTCATTTTGATACTTAAGAGAGAAATTTTAAAGTTTTTTTTTTTTTTTTTAACAAAAGATATGACTTTAAGACTAAAACAATATGAATTGTATATGAATATGAAGTACATTATAAGAGCTGATCAGCATGTTGAAGCCTCCTTACATCTGTGCATGACACATTTCAACCACTGGATATGATGATAACATCAACCTCTCTATGTTAAAGATGGAAACCCCACAATTCTTTGAAACTACTCTTTAATATTTATTATTAATTGCTAACTTTCAGTAATGCGAACAACATGATTTATAGTAAATTTTGTTTTTCAAAACATTAATTTTGGGAGTAAGTTACCAGTGTTGTCATGATTTTGAAAAAAGTGAAAACTTCTGTTCACTTTTTCAAGTTTTGTTTAGAATATCCACCTTTACTTTCTATCTCTTACTGTTTCTGTGTTGAACAATGGTAGCGGCAGATTTCAATCTGTCGCCCTGGTTTAAACACTAAATGACAAAGCCTTCCTTTCGTCTAATGTGGTTTAGACTTAATAAAATGATTCTGTATAATGAGGTGAGATAAACACAATTTAAATCTGATGTAAAATCCTGCCAAAATTATTATAATGCGTGCTCGCCCACCCTGTGCGATTTGCGGGCGCAATACAATTGCTACAAATGCAGGTGCGATGGGCTCCGCTTCAACTGCAAAGCGCCTTACAAGGCTATATTGAGTTGGCTGCACCTAACAGAAGCCTTAGGGCCAGTGTCTCAACTACAAGATGTCAAGGACATCACTTATTCTGTTTTATGCCAAGAAGATAAAATTCTTTGCATGTGAAAAGCTGCAATTCTTCTCAGTTTTATGATCCTGATTAAAAATTTATGATTTGGCTTTCAAGAAGTTGGTCAATATTCCAGTTCAATTGAATATTCTTAAAATCATAGATGTTGTAGGAGTAAGTTTCGATTACTACAGGTTTTGGCTTATTTGTAATCGATATTTTTAATTGACTGTAAACAATTGTTATCTGTGGAATTTCGATAAAAATATGATTCTTTAAATATTATTTACTCTTGTTCTCTACATTATTATTAAGTTGTGCCATTTTTTCAATTCAACAGTGCCACTTCAGCCAAAAAATTTGCATGCAGTGGCCATGACCCCGAATGTTATCGAAGTGACATGGGACCCTCCAGAGAACAGTCAAAGTGTGATCAGTTACAAGTTGTACTTTAACGACTCATACCGTCGGCAGAGTGCACATATAACCATTGACCCACCAGTGTCGCGATTTCGCCTAACTGACCTGACGCCAGACACAATCTACCACATCCAAGTCTCAGCCATGTCGTCGAAAGGTGAAGGTGCCCACACCCCTACGGTCCAGGTTCAAACCCGGGAGTTTGGTATGTGTTCTTTAGATCTTTTACAAAAATTAAGTTTTCTACAGTAAATTCCTTCTTTGATATTCGTTGTTTCCTCCTTTTATATGTTATTGTACCTGTATTTTGTGTGTCTATATCTTAGCCATCAAAACAAATTTGTGCTTTGTTTTATTTCTTGTGATAAAACTTGTATACATTAATTGTGATAAAACTTTATTTTTAATGTGAATTTTTTTCCTGATTTTGTAACGTGACGTGAAGTGACGTTCGACGTAGTTGTGGTTTCAATCTTACTTCTTCCTTCACTGATTTCTTTCTCCTTTCTATCTCAGTTTTCTTCTTCCTCACTTGAATTGGTGTCTTTGTGAGTTCTTTCTTTCCAGTGGTGTTACAAGGTCATTCTTATTTTTTTGCTTTTTTGATTTTCACAAAAGAGAATTGTGAACTTTATGCATATCCAATATTGTTTTTCCTTGAATATATATATATATATATTTTCACTTATCTCTTTATCACACTACTTATGTACATCTATTTTGACAACTGTTAAAACAAGTCATGTTTGGGAAATGACAGGTTCTGGCAAGCGCAAACCATTTGGTAAGTCTACTACATAAAACTTTGTTTCAAATCTTACTTTCACAGCCAGCATAGACTTACATTTTTTTTCTCTTTTACCGTATCCATGGAAGTTTGTTTCCACGCAGACTGGGGAAACAACTCCTCTTGTCCCTCTCCTAACTCCTTCTCCATTCCAGAATTCCCCAGACCTGAATTTTAAACATTTTAAGGAATAAGAAATCTTTTTCCCCCTGATTATTCCCATTTTCTCCCAAAGGACTGTATTTTGTTGTGAATGACACATTTACTTCACTTCATGGTGTACTGGTAAATTCCAAATTTTATAAAGGATTGTCAGTCCTTTGATCATGTTTTGTATAACCACTGAAGTTGTTAAAAAGTGTTTTTTCATTTTGAGTTTTCATTTTGATTTCTACTCCCGGTTTTGGGTCGACATGTTGGTGGTTGGATGTACATGTCAAACACAATTTGCTTACACATGCACAGCGGTGCTGGACCGTTCTAATAAAGTTCTAAAATTCCACAACTAATCTGCTGGTTGTTTTTTCTTATTTTTGTATTAATTTAAACCTCACCTCAAACATACACAAATCGTACCGTCTAGTTTGGATGCCCTTATCACTCGTGGCCTCACCTCCAGTGTTCCTTCACTTTTTCTATTCTATTCCGTCTGGAATGTTTTCCTTGTTTTTTCGTTTGGTTGTAGGTTGAAGAACTTTAGTTGACTTGGTGATTATCTATTTCTGTGATTTATTTGCCATTTCAGTGTGTGTTTATAGATCTCTTTGTAGGTTTATTCTTTCTGTTTCTTTGATTACCTTGAATACGTCATCATTGCTGGTTTAGACTTCATAATGCTTCTCTTTCTTTTCTTCATGAGAATTCTTTTTATTTAATGAGTTGACCTTTAACTGTACAAAGACAAACTTAAACAGATTGTTACCTGAAATAACTTTAAATGTCAGGTTTTTTTTTTAAATAAACTTGTTCAGACAGAATTGATGGTTTATGAATAGCGACAGACTTTGGAAATCTGACAATGAGATTTTTATAAATGTCATTGTGACTTTATCGTCACAGAGAACTTTTTACCAAATCAATCTTTGACCATTATTTACAAAAACACATTAGTTTTAAAAGAGTAGATCTCTTTTAAACAGATATTGACTTTTTTTTTCAAAATGGACACTTTAATAGAATCTGACTAATTTTACATCACCATCAGTATTCCATTGACCTATAATGACTGACGGAGTTCCAAATCAATCATGAATTCATTTCGTATTAATTGTTTTTTATCATATGATTATCACATTTTCCATACGTTTTTTTATATGCTATAAGTTGTTATATTGCGCACTAGAAATCATTTTTATTGTTTAAATGTTGGTGTATTTGTATCGTTTTTTGTCTCTATGGCCCCAGAGGGCTGAGTAACCTTATTCCATGGTGTGACGTCAAACGTCCATGAACTTGTCCATCGTCAGCACTTCTTGGTCCAGAACAGACAAGAGTTTTATAAATTGGTTATATATTCAATGATAAAAAAAAAATTAGCCCAATTGAACACAGTGGGTAGTCTTTCAAACCTAATTCTGTAGGAGTGAAGAAATTCTTACTAAAGCTTTCACACTGACATTCATGGAAGAAAAAAATGGTATGATGTACAGGTGAGGTGTTGTCTAAAAATCCACCAGTACAATGATGTCATTTGCTGATTTAAGATTTAAAATGTTTATAATTATGATTATGTTTTCTGATTGGCTGTGATATATTTTACTGATTCCTAAGTCCAACAGACCAGTTTTATTCTGACCAAGCATCCTAAAATTTCTCCTTTACAAATTTTTATTTGTTAAATACAGGTGGGCTGCTCCAGCTCGTTGGGCCCCCTATGTGTGTTATTATACTTTACAAACAGAATCCGTGAAATGGTTCAAACCGTCAGACATGTCCAATGAAAATGTTTAACTTTTTTGCAGTTCCAAATAACACCTCCTCCTCCCTGCCCCCCAAAAAGGGAGGAGGAGAAAAGAAAAAAAAAAAGATTATATTGCACTCAGTTATCTGGTTGTACAAGGGTGTTGGATTATATCACCCCTTGTTTTGACAACAATCCCTAAAGTTTTGCGGCGACTGTTTCATCTTGTATAACTAATCCAACTAACCCAGACTAGAGCCAACGCCATGATTTTTAAAACAGGTGTATAATGTTCCCGATACCTATGCCGGTATGCAGGGCGATTGAAGAATCAAGAGCAATCAAAGACAAATCTTGTATAACTACATGTAAACAATATGCAGTATTGTATGAAAACATGTCTTGACATGGAGGAAATGGTGGCATATATATATGTACTTATATACAATCACAGCAGATGTGGTGGGGGTGGGGGGGGGGAGTATTAGTCTCTCCTTGGTGTTAAGAAAAGCAAGAGAACACTGCTTGGTGTAGTTCACTGAGTCACTTATTATTGTCACTGTTTTGTCACTCTTCACTAGGTTTAGTGTCTTCAAATATTTGACTCATGGATCCAATGATTGGCATTCCCAGTATAGCATTTCAAAATGGACTCCAGTTGTTTCCTTCATCAGCCGGAATTGATTTTAATTCTAGGATATTTTGGCGGTTACAGAAAATGTTTACCAAAATGATCAGATCTGTTATGCAATGCTCTTTTCGTTGATATTTTTGAAGCTCAAAATATAAATTCAACAAATTTCTGATATCTCATAATATTTTGTCTCGGGACAATGTTTTGTTCTTGTTTACACAACTTCATATCGTAACCACTGGAGTCAGTTTGAGTTTTCACCAAATACATATATAGAACTCTCTAATCGGTGAAGGTTTATAGATAGAGTATGTGGGCATTTCTTGGAAAAGATGTAGAAAACTTTTACAGAATTTGCACTAATTCTTTTGTTTTATCTGTATATCAGTACATCAACCTCTATAGAGTCAAATTCTCATGTGGCAACAGTTTAAGTATATCATTTCTCTCTTCAGGATAGCACTTATTTCCAAAAGCATTGTAGGACAATCCCCTATAATAGTCCTTGATTATTTAGAAAATTTTGAATAGAGTTGAAGAAATTTTATGGGCATTACAGCAAAATATTTTTAAGAAGGTTTGGGAAGTTACCTAAAAAAAAATGGCAAAAACTTCTTTCAGCAAATAGAAAATGATTCATAAAAATTAACTTGAATATCAGAGCATTGTTCCATGGAGTAGTGAAACATTATGAATGTTTCTTTGAGTTGTATGAAATTCCTCCTAGAAAAGAAAAAATTCTTTCATGGAATAGCAGTAAAAAGAAAATTTTCTCCTGACGTGACAGAAAAGTCTCTGTAGAAGAACATAGGTAAGATCTCTCTTATAGAAGCTGAAAATTTTCTCAGAGTTTCTCACCGTCTAGTGAGGCATTTAGGATTCAGGCTTGTAGAATTGTTAGTTTGAAAGTTACTCTCAAAAAATGGTCATTAATACGACACATAATTGGAATTGTGAAACCATGTTTTGAGGTGAGCAACTGCATACATTGGTTAACCATGGGTCAATTATGTGTCCTTGTGTATCAATTTAACTCTGTTACTGACCACAGCATCAAAATGAAGAACACAGAATTACTTCTTACTAGCTTCATTGGTAAACTATACAGGCATGAAATGCATGTAAAAACATTCAAGAAGAACTCCTGTAGTTAGTTGAAAGGAAAGAAACACTTGATCACGGAATTTAACCGAGCAACTGAAATACCGCTGAAATACAGGATAAATACTTGGAGAATTAGATTTGATATCCAGCTGTCCAATTTGATTTCTTGTATGTTTATTATGCATGAGTAGTTTGATCATCAATGGTCAGCGCAATATTCTAGATACTTTGGTATATAACTCTACGGAGCATGAGATCTGCTTTCTTCATCTTTGGTATGAACCTCTAGTTACAGAAACTTGCCACAGTTCCAGAATCATGACAAAAAATTATCTATAGCATTTTCTCTAGATACTGTTAATATGTATTGATAATATTTTGATTCTCTGATGATATGCATCCGTAGTATAGCCTCAAGCCATACATAGCATTTTATCATCTTTGCTGGTTGGGAAATTTGCAGTTGATTTAGGAGATATCACAAAATGTATGCATTTTAAGATATTTGGAATTATATAGATGAATTATTGTGTGGGACAGTAATTAGTTGGTTAGGTGACATCAGTGTACAACTTAGAAACTATTGCATTAAGTTCGATCCATGAATCAAATAGCTTGTGTTTTTTTCATTATTGTTATAATTTTTTGCCTAAATATTCACAAAGATTTGTGCTTTCATACATTATCTCTTTCTTTTCTTAATCATGCTACTGTTAGTCTGTCATTACAAAAGTCATACAATGCTGCATGTTGTTTTTAAGTTTTGTCATGTTTTTATTTGTTTTTACTTTTTTTTTCTTTTTTTCGTCTTTTTATTTTTTGTCTTCTATGTTTTTCTCTTTTTATCAATCTCCCTCAATGACCCCCTTTGACAATGACCCGTCCACGGCCATCTTGAATTATGAAAATTCAGTTCCAAGTGGTGAGCCTCAAAATCTAAGCGGCCGACCAATCGACTCACAGAGTATTGAGGTCACATGGAACCCTCCACCTCCTGACCAGCAAAATGGCGACATAACAGGCTATAAAATATTTTACGTGAAAAACATGCCCGACTTGACAGAAGAAGATGCTCAGCCAGTTACTGTGGATGCGGCTGCCAACACGTTGACATTATCGAGCCTGGCTGTGTGGACGGAGTATAAGATTTGGGTGTTGGCGTTCACAAGCGTGGGTGACGGCCCAAAATCACAACCAATCATCGTGTCGACCGACGAAGATGGTAGGTAGCGTCTGATTTGCTGCTCGCTGCAGTAGTTATGCTAACTCTGGTTGACTGGAAAAGGACCTATAATCAGATAGCCATGATTTGGGTTTCTCCATAACAAATATTTAATAACAATAATTCCTTGTTTGAATCGTTTTGGTATCTGGTTTAGGAGCCTTTCCAAATCTTTATGATATAACCCTTTTCTCTTATCTAAATTACAGTATAAAGTGCTTTTTCGCCCTCAAGCCTGTTACAATATGTACAGGATATTTCTTGCTAACATCATCCTGTTTGAGGTTATCATCTTTCCTGATCATTCCATCAACATAATCCTATACTGCATCAACCATTTTATAAGATATACTGAATTGTACTGAAGTAAAAACTTTTGACAATTGGTCTTCAGAATGCATTGTCATATGATGCATGCTGATTTAAACAAATCTGGAAAACATGTATTTGCTTTGTGTTGTTGTAAAAATAACTTGTTTCAAAGAAACGTATCTTCATGGTTATTTCAGTGGCCTTGGTAACATTTTGTTTAAAAAGATAGAGTTTCATGGATTCCTATGATAATGGTTCACATTCATCATGTTCATTTTCATCAATGTCATCTCTTTCTTCATCGCACTTTTCATTTCTTTTATTGTATCATCCTCATTTAACTACCTTTAAGCTCATTTCTCTTTTGCATCATTCTGTAACATATCATGATGTCCTCTTTTTAAAACCCCACCTCAAAATTCTTCAGCATCATTCTTTAACATTGTGTCCTGTTTTTAACTCCCCCACCTCAAAATTCTTCAACGTCAATGCCTTTCCTCTGTTAATGGATTCATTGATCATTTTCTGTCAGAAAATCATATGGTGACATTTTTTTTTCAAATTCACTTCCTACTTGGGAAAAAAAAAACAATCATTTGAAATTTCTCTTAATGAACTCTTTTTACTGCCTGTCTTTGCCTTTTGGTTGTTACATTTCGATTCCATTCAAAATCATTTCATATCTTCACACCCCATTATAATTCATTCACAGAATGTTGAGCTTTGAACTTTGAACCCTGAATCCAATTTGGTGATGGTATCCATTGTTGTTGGATTAATAATTTTATGACAACGTTAATAATTATGGATGTGTGATTATATGATCAAATTTTTCTAATATATACAGATAAGTATATGTTTCCATGGAAACTAACAAGCATGCTGCATGTGTCCTCCTTCTTTGTTTTACCATCACTGTTTCATCGTGGCTTGTATGTATTCCTTTCCTCTGTCATTTCTCTCGTTTTTTACTTTTTGTTCAATATTCGTGAATGTCATGTGTCATTCCATTGACAAATGAATATTTTTAATATAAAGTTTCTATGATAGTAAAAGTTTGGCCTTTTAAGAAATTACAAAACAAATCTTGATGTAGAATATGTTTGTATGAATATTTTGAAAATTTGCTGTAAAGAAAATGAAGTTGTTTCTGTATGTACAAACATGTATCTTGATTGATATAAATATGATTTTATTCTGAATTGAATTTGAAATGATACAAGTGAACTCAGGAAACATGTTGAAAACATTTTTATGAACATTTTTTTATCTGGAAAAATTTATTCGATTTGAAATAATAATGTTCATGTACATGCTGTTTACAATATACAGAAAAAGCTTTTTTGAATGATCCGAAAGGATGTTTGCTCATGGAATGATACTACTCTGAATGTATGTAAAGTTTCTTGTCTTGAAAAATTCCTTCCCTATTTGAAATAATTGTTGATTGGCTAAGCATGTCTGTGCGACAACTAACATCAGTATATATACATATGTATATACAAACCAACTTGTTGTGAAATTGTATGTTGGAATTAATTGACAACATATTGAACAAGAAATCATATGTTCCTTTATGCATATATATATTGAAACTTATATGGAGTTTTTTGTACTGTTTTGACTTCAGTGTTCGTTATATTGAATCTTTTACAGTATATCTGATTCGACAAGGAATGACGTGTATCAAATGCATGATATTTTTCTCAGCGACGAAACAAATATACTGCACTTAGGAGCAGTTTCCTTTCTTTCGTTACAGCTCTTGTTTTAGACCAGATTTTGTAGTCAAGGATTTAGCATTATCTGTGCATATGCTGTCTTTATTTGATTCAAATTGTTGCATGCGTCAGTGCTGCGGTGCGCAGTTGACATAGGTTTTAAGCTGACAAGACTACAGGCGGAATATATTCTAAATCTAATCTCAAACAAACGCTGATATGAATCTGAAGTTGTTAATGACAAATATTCCAAAAATTAAAAATGAAATTGAAGAAGATTAAAAAGAGAAATACATTGAAATATTTTTAAAAGATATACCAGGATCTATATATTTTCTTTGGGGGAAAATGTATGTAATTCATTAGAAAGGAGGGAATTTTTTGAGGGAGGGGTACTTCTTATCTTAATTTTTGGAAAAGCAAAATGTAGAATCTACTTGTAGTTGGACAATCTTTTGTGTCATCTTTTTTTTCTCTCTAGAAACCGTATAGAAGCATTCAGTAAATATAAAGTCTAGGTATATATCCATCATAATATATCACACTTCCCTAGATATCCATTCTCTCTCTAGCCTAGAAATGTATTTGGGTGTGTGCACCAACCAAATCAAAAAGATAAGATCGAAATTGCATCGTGATAGAAAATTTAAAGTCTGGCTGATGTTTGGTCTTCTATTTTAAAATCTCCATTTTGGTTGTTGCCATGGCAACTTTGATGCAATGCAGCGAACTAGGCTGTAGAAATCATGTAGCTTCTGCGATGTGGAAACTTTATCAAATGCTTCATCGGCTATACAGATCCACTTTTAATTAGAAATCTTAAATATATTCCAATACAGTACTGAATCTTGCACTTCCTGCCTTCTTGTTGATTTTTTACATCTAATTTATGTTTACGGATTTTTTCATTTTTATATATATATATATATATATATATATAGATATATGAATTTTGATTATTATTTGATTTGCACAATTTTACACAAATCTGTAAAGATTTCGGCAATAGCTATAACAATTAAAGACTTTGTATTTTTTTTTTAGATTTTATTACCAAACAACTACCTGTAACATGAAGCCTTTCTATTTTTACGTAGAGCTTATTTTGCATTTGTTAAACTTTATTTTTGATTATTTTTACTGCACTTCTCTTTCAAAATCAGATTTATTTGGAGTATTATTTTGAGTATATTTCATTTGTCATTAAGAAAGTAATCAATTTAATTGTTTCATTTGTCATTAAAAAGAAATCAATTTAATTTTCCTCTTTTAATGCATGTTGAATTTGATAATAATTTGGTGCTGCATGGCATATACAGTTATGGTTATGTTAAGTTCTCTTTATGATAAAAATATTCTCCTCAAAAGCATGGTTGAGTGCATTTTGATACTTTTCACACAAGGAATGTGCATTTTTGAAATTTGAACAGAAAAAAAATGAAATCATCTAAAACGTTTGCCTCTGTATTAAGTTTGCTTTTACTTTAAAAGCTTGTTGATGCACAGAGAGTATATATCAACTACATCATACTCAGCATAGGAACTGCTTTAGACAGGCGCTTAGAAACGTAGAACCTATCTAGTAGTCAGAAAAGGCATCAATTACAAACAACGACATGTGAACTTAGCTCAAAATCTAATAATTCTGGTTCTTTATCAATTTAACTGTAATAATTTATAGACTCTTAACAAAAAAAGAGTAAAGGTCATTTGTAATTAATGGTTTAAAAACTTTTTTCTCTTGAAAAAAAGTTAATTGTTTTACAAACTCCTTAAGAGCTAAGCTAGACCCAGTCTAAATTACATCCCAACTTAACTCTTTGACAGGAAAACAATATAACCTCTTGACCTCAATACCCAACATACCTCCTTAACAATAAATCACAATAAAATTATCGAGAAGGAAAACATTATAACTTCTTCACCACAAACCCAACATACTTCCCTAACAGTAGAACCCAACATACCTCCTTAACAGTACATCTCACCAATACACTGGATAACCTCTTCACCTCAAAACCCAACATACTTCCTTAACAGTAGAACCCAACATACCTCCTTAACAGTACATCTCACCAAAACTCCTTAAAAGGAATACACTGTATAGCCTCTTCACCTCAAAACCCAACATCCTTCCTTAACAGCAAAGCCTAACGTATCTTTTAAATAAAATCCAAACATGAATAGAAAAGCAAAATATTCCAAATTAATCTGAAATTTAGCTTCTTTTGGAGGAAAATGAGAGCATTTATTGATAAAGTAATTAAGTTTGGTACTGGTATGGAAAAGTTGAACTTTCTTGCGATTGTGAGCTAGTTTCACGTAAGTTGTCTGCAAATAAACTGCATTTAGATCTCAAGCATTCACTACAGATGTACAAAACTATGACCAGAATTATTATTTTTAAAGGTCCTGTGTTATGTATAATACATAATGGTAGCATTTTGTTTTCATTACAGTTCCAGGACCTCCAAAATCTGTCACTGTGGAAGTTGTCAACTCAACCACCATATTTGTGGAATGGCGACCACCAGAGACACAGCGAGAAAATGGAATTATACGAGGCTACCAAGTATACTGTGTTGTAGTAGATAGTAAAAATCGGCCAAAGGAAGGCACAGATCGTATAAGTGACACGACGGATGGTAATCGGAGAGAGGCCGTCATTACCAGCCTTGACCCGGCCACCAGATATTCTATCAAGGTGGCTGGTTATACGAGACGTGGCGATGGCCAACGCAGTAAAGAAGTATTTGTTGTCACGTCAGGGGCAGGTAAGGCAAGGTCTAAATATTACTGGTTTCACGATAGGTAAATCTCACACAGGTCTTTATTTTATTGTTCTGAATTTCATATTTAATTACAAAGAATATGTTAAAGGTAAGTATGCCGAATATATCATGTAATCATGGAAATGTATTTGTCCAGTTTGGTACGTTCAATAACAAAAAAAAGCGCACCAAACACAACACAAGTTAAACGTTTTAATTTTTTTAAGTACTTTTAGTGTAACAATCTACATTTTGAGACTGTGACCAAATTTGAATACTATGACTTACAGTGCCAACGATACCAAGGAACCTGAATGTGGAATTTTTGGGCGAAGATCCTCCACAGGTGCAGGTCACATGGCAACGGCCAAGGGAAACTCACGGCAAGTTGGCAGGCTATAAGGTGTTCTGGGGACGGAGAGGAGAGAAATACTCACTGATTAATCTCGGACCTATACATCATGCCTACATCTCGGATATCTTAGGTTTGTATTTTGGGCTGAATAATCTTAAAAAGTTCAATATTGTCTGCGGGATTTTTAGGGTAAAATTCCAGTTTGAAGATAGAAATGATGATTATAACATCATTTTCTTGGACATTACTAAATAAATTTGTAATAGGTTAGATTACTATCCTTTTCAAGAAAATATCAGACAGATTTTAAAGTAATATGATCCCTTAACAATATTTGTTGATCGATGTAAGAATGGAGGGAGATTGGGAATAAATTAGTTGGTTTGAACTGTATCTCGATGAATGATTTTCTTCTTCCCACAGACAAAGGAGCTACATATGAATTCATTGTTGTTGCCCGAAACGAGGAGGGTGACGGTGTGAGAGCATCACAAACTATCACAACTCCGGATGGAAGTAAGTGTCTCGCGCTGCATTCATTCTGCCTAGTTGGCTCAGCGCTGCAGCAGAGAAGACAACATCCAACTCACTCAGCGTTACTGCACGTCAGCGTGGTCTCACCTCTGTGGTGACCATATATGTTGTCATAGCAACAGCTCATTGTCCCTCAGTGTTGCCACACACCCCTTGGTTTCCATGGAAACCTGCTTTTGAAGCTCTAGATATTTTTTTGTGTGTGTGTGCCTGTGACATTTATTTGTCACACTGTTCTTTAATTGTGTTGGCTTTCAAAACATTTTTAAATATTTTTTTTTATGTTGTGGTCATATTTATTTTTTTGACTGTTGTTCTTGTCAAAAATGCTATTTTTATCTATTTTTGTTTGTATTTTAAATTTTAAACCCATTTTGAAATTTTGAATATTATGAAACTTATTACTTCCTTTTCTTTTTTTTTTTTAAATCTTCAAATTTTTTATCAAAACATCAAAATGTATTTATTTCATTTGAAAATATTTGCATTTAAAAAAACAATATGTTTGCATTTGATGTAATAATCCTTGAAGAAATCAGTTTAATTTTTTATGTTTGTATCAGTTTCTTGGTTTAAATGTTTCAATCTGCATTTTTTCTATTTCATTTGTGGTGGTTGGTTGTGGACTTTTTTATTTTTGCATATTTTTATTTGTTTTATTAATTGTACTTGCACATTCAGACTGAGAAATGCAACACCTCTTTTTGACTGACATAACATTTGAAATTGAGGAAAAATGAAACAACTATACTTTTCGCTCAGCATCTTATGTATCTATGGTGAATGCTTTGGACTCTAGCATGTTAAGCCAGAATCAAAGAGTTATCTTGATAGAAAATTAAAACTTTTTTTTGGGTGTGTCTAAAACTCTGCTTTATGATCTAACTTTCTGAGAATACTGGCTGGAACAAATCATATATTTTCTATAAATGATTTTTTTAAAAATGCATGTAACTGTGATTTCTACATCATATCGAAATCTTTTTTTCCTGTAAATTTTGAATGTTTTTCTTCTCTTCACTATTTACAGATTTTAATGAAATTCAAAGTTTTTAAGATTTGAAATATTTATTTGATAAATGCTTTTAAACATAAAAGAAAATTTTAAATGGTTTTGTTCTAACTACATTGATGAACTGTTTTGTTTAAGAAATTAGTAAATATTTAAAGTACAGAAGTAAGGAACAGTTTGACAAAAGAAAACAATTTTGTGTGTTACGATGTGGCACGTTGTATAATCACTGTCAAAGATATCCCTCACAATTTTCATTTTCCAAAATTTTGCAAGGCTTTTGTAGACAGAATAATGTTGACATAGAATTTGATTGATGTATTGATCATTTTATTGATTAACCGAGGCAAGTTGAGATCTTTTTTTTTTTTTTTTTGAAAATTGAAGAAATAAATTGATTAAGAATGTGCAAGTATAATTGTAAAACATCCAATTTAATATTGTACCGTTTTTTGTTGTATTTTTTTCGTGTACATTTCTCTCTCTTTTCTCCCCGTCCTGCCTATAGTCCCTGAAGGGGCCCCGCAGAATTTCACTGCGACAGGGCTGACAGAGACCAGTGTGAGACTGGAGTGGGACTTACCAGCAAAAAAACTGCAAAATGGCGAGATAATCATGTATCAGCTTGTCTACCACAAGATGGCCGACCCTACCAGTACGGAGGATCTAAACATCACTGGCATTCAATTCGACGTTCACAATCTCGAGATGAATACTGATTACGTTTTTCAAGTTAAGGCATTCACAAGTCAAGGAGCTGGTCCATGGACTGTGCAGCATCCTTTCCACACATTCGGACCAAGTATGTTAATTAGAGGTGTCAATCAAGGGCAGATAACCCTTGCCGCACTGCGATGGGTTTGCAGCAAGCTTTGCAGAGAGACTTTATTACTAATATGCGTAACCTGAATTACTACTATTAAATTTCTAACATCAGGACTGTTGGTCAAAAATGTCATTGATATGGAATAAGCATGTGTTGTTGGTTTGTGGTTTGAAATAGTACTACTTACTAATTATATGTTATATCTATAGAAAAGTATCAAATTTGGCTCATATGGTAATGAGTGATCCAAATGGATAAAAACCAGCTTGAAATACATGATTATCATGAATCCCTAGTGTTTCTTTACTGAACAGTGAAACCATCACTCTTTCTGGTTTTCATCCCTCATTCCTGCTCTCAATCTATCCATCATGCCCCACCCTCTCACACCCATTGTCCTCAATCCCCGCCCTCAAGATATTCCCTGCTTTCATATCCACCTAACATCCCCTCCCTACACTAAATGTATCACTTATCAATTTCAAACACCTCACAAAATTGAACATTTCATCTGTCCCGTCACCACGGATACTAGCTATGAATTTTGTATCTGTATTTAGTAGACATTGCTTCACGAAGCCGTATTGTACACCTAGATTTAGTCATGGTTTACGATTTTAGTTAGATATTATATTGGTGTTGTAATCCACATTTCTAACCTTGGATGAACTATGAACAACCTCTAGTTCATATGCTGCTGTCCTCTTATATCATCATGCCCAAAATACACATTATGTGATGATGTCATGCATTTGCGCGCATTTTTAAATGCACAACTGGTGGCCTTCGTAAGACCTAAAATATTCACAGCAGTTTTAATTTTGGTTTGAAAAGACTGAAGTTTTTCTTTTTTTTTTTTTTTTTTTTCGCAAACCAGCTTGCTAGTTAGCAGCACTTTAGTGCTGATTTCAACTGCATCGGGTGTCTTTTTCCTTTTTTTCTTGTATATTGATAATAACACCTACGTTACAACGAAATCTTTTTTAAAGATTTAAAGATTTTTTTTGAGCAAAAAAAAAAGGTAAAAACTAAAACTTCATTTCATAGCTGTTACTAGCTTTTTGTCGCATGATTGCTTTATGGTGAAGTTCTAATTTTCATAATACTGGAGTTGTCTTTCTATAAATAATGATAGTTAAATTGATAATTTGGAGAAGGAAAAAATCAAAATAAATTTCTCCTGAAAGCATTCCAATCATCTTTCCAGACATTTGTATTCCTTTGAAGCAGGATTAATGCAGACAATCTAGCCTTGTTATTCTCTATATACCTCACCGTGCAGGTGTTATGCCTCCACTCACTGACATTTCACTCGCTTGAAATGTGACCCACTGGGAAAAGGTCACTGATTCTCATCATGTAGCTCACTTTGAAAAAAATAACCAAAAACACTCCTAGAATTTTACATTGAATTATCAAATGCTTAGTTTAAGTTTTGCTGTGATATGAAAATGAAAGGCAGAGTTTTAATAATGTTGAAATATATTATCATGTATTTATACTTATACACAAAGTCTATACTTTCCACACACTGAGCACTTCTTTTTAAAATCCGTTATAGATAAAATAATTTCATCATAGGAAAATGCATTGCTATATCATTTTTGTGAAAAGAGTAAAATATAATTATTTACCTTTTTGAAATAACAAGTTATAGGTGCTGAAGAGAAATGTCATCCATTATTACAAACAGCAATATTCAAATGTCTTATGTCTTCAGACATAACACAATAAAAATTGTCAAGATCATTTTGTCCATCATCAAAAATAATAACATGTGCATATTTATTTTTCCCTCTACTCACATCCAGAAACTCATGGTAACTATCTTTGTATCAATGCCAGCTTTGTGTTAAACAGTCTACATGTTGACAGATTGTGGCATTGAGCTCAGGTCAGAGTGTCAGGTTCATCACTCTGCCATATTTGTCGTCCTGTTTCAATGGATTGCACTTGTAGTGTATTGATTTTTTTGATTTTTTTTTTCGCACTGCAGTCATATACTTTTTCTATTCATTAAGGGCTATCTTTTGTCACTTTCACTATTATTTCTAAATATTGCTTAAAGTTCATTCTAATTTCCTCTAAGCGATATACAGTATTTTATTTTCTTGTGGTAGAAGACACAAAATTTGCCAAGAACTTATCTAAGAGATATCTGAGAAAATATGATATGGAGAACTGCCTCTGGCAACTCATTTGCGACACAATTTTGAGTTTTATTGAATCAAAGGAAGGTTACCTTTAGGAATTTCAGATGTGAAAGTGATTGAACTATCACAAGAAAAAACGATTTTGAGCAAAATTCATCGCAAATCTGTTTTTCTAACTGTCCTGACTACAGTTTTCATCTCTAATATTAATCCATTTAACACATGTTCATACTAATGATGCATGCTGGGAGAAGGTATTTTTAATATGCATTATTATTTTGTTTATTTTGTTTGTATATGTACACCTATATATAATATGTATGCCTAAAACATACCAAATTGAACAGCTAATGTAAATTTGGTTTAACCTTGGTCACTAGCTGACCGGTAAGGTTGTTGTTGTTTTAGAAGGTCACATGTTGCTTACCTTTTGTCACTTACCTGTAACATGTCCTATAATGTAATAACTGGACTATATATATATATATATATATTATCAATTGACGAATCTTCAGTAACTTCTTACATGAACACCTATATATTTTTCGGATAAATCCAAGATAGTAGTAAACAGATGCAGGGTGTCTCCACATTTGTCTGAATTACATTCATTCAGAGTCGTTTAATGAAGAACTTTTGTTCTCTGTTTTCTTCTTAAGAAATCACTGTTAATCTCAGAGGAAATTTGTCTTTTATCTTTTTAACATTGGTAAAAAATTAAAAAAAAAAACATGCAAACTGATGTTAAAGGATTCGTCAATTTGTTAATAAATACATTTAGCCTTGTCATGTATAATTGTATCATAATGTATATCTGAAAATATCATCTGTTCATTTCATTTAAATATTGTTTACTTAAAATCTAGTCTAAAAATCTAAAGAAAAGCAAATTGGTCATGTCCTGTAGTTCTCAGATAGCATGAAAATATCATTTTTATCTCACATTTTAAATGCTTTAAAAATGATCAATGCTTAAAATCCATTTTGAATATAAATCTGTGATACATATTGATAATTTAGCTATTTCATGTTCAAAATTTTTATCTTTTTTCTTTTCCTTTTTTTTTTTATGTATTCTTCATTGTAATTTGAGAAGTTTGAATCATCTTTATTTGAATTTCCAGAAATTTTTCATGATTATATATATTTTTCAACAGTGCTGCCTCCTCCTGAGAACATCAAACTCATACGATCGTCCCCGGAGACCATCCTAGTAACATGGGAGGAGCCAAAACTTCCAGTTGCGGGGTATCGTGTCTACTACAATATGTTTGAGCTTCAAAAGATGGAACTCTGGCAGAAGAAGGATATTGGACCCTACACTGTCACAGAACTGACCGATTTAGACAGTGTGTCAGTATATGCCGTTCGAATCCAGGCAAGATCTGTTGATGGTCGCTATGGCAACCTGTCAGAATCTGTTGTCTCTGCTGTGGGAACCACGCGTAAGTTCATATTCGTTGTAAATTTTGTCTAGATTATTTCAGCAGATCATCAATTTTTACTATTGCTGCGATCCCCATTTAACATTTTTGAGAATGGTCCAAACATTGCATTAGTGTATCAGCTGGAAAATTTGAATGAAAATCAAACACACAAAACAAAATACCAGAGGTTTCACAAAATCCTTTCTGTATAAAAGCCCTGACAATAACTCTATATATGTATTTGTGCTTAGTGTTTTAAACAAGGCAATTACAATATAGTGATCAGAAAAAAATAAAAACTTCTGCTGTTTCATGCCTCGACTTCTCACCAAGTTTATATACATTTCTGTATTTGTCTCACAGAGCGTGTGACTGATGATACACCCTCGAACTTCCACGTGTCAATGAGAACCTCAGTGGATGTGAGTCTGGTATGGGAGGCACCCAAGAAACCTCAGGTTACCAAATATATCGTAAGTATTGTCAAGCTCAACGGACATAACTGTGTCAACACTTGACACCACACTTATCATTCATTGAAAGCATACTGAAAATTTCAAGAACAAAGGCGGGCCGAAAATTAAAATTTAATATAGAATGATGGAATATAAAAATTATGAGATTTACAGATGTAAAATACATGTATAGCACAGGAATAATTCATATGTCATGTGTGAGAACATACAGCCTTAACTCTATCATACAAATTGTGATTATCAATCGGTGGTATAATACCATATTTGATGTAAACAAGCCCAAGTCTGGTAAAGGTCCACCCTTATATATCACTGTTCAGTATAATCATAAGCTTGTGTTATTCCATGTCATGTGGGCTTATTACAGTAGAGATATGGCAGGCAAAATTATATATTTGTTTCAATGTAGATAAGAACATTAATGAAAACAATTTTGGTGTTAAATGATTTGTGGTTGTGTTTTGCAGCTTTCCTACTCGGGAGTGAAGAAATATCGTGAAAATAATAGCATGCAGACTTATTACCCGCCACGTGAAGAAGAGACAATTCATGGTCTTACAAGTTCTTTCACTGTCGAGAATCTCTGTCCAAAAACAAAATATACCTTCAACATCTCCGCATTTTTCCAGGATGGGACCCAAGGAGGTGTGAGCACCCTTGTGGTCCAGACTAGAATTGAAGGTGGGTTTTTACCTGTGATTGTCTGAATTTGAACTTTCACTTTAAAAAATCCTCAAATTTATCAAGCAAAATTAAAAAATAAGAAAAAGAAGCATTTTTGTTCATTTTATCATTGTATTTGTTGTTTTTTTTTTATCAGCACCAAAGGAGGTCAGAAGACCAATGATTGTGAAAATCGCTGGCCAGGAAGTGACTGTGATGTTGAAACCAGCTTCAGAGAAGAATGGTGGCTTGAGCTATTATTACCTAGTGGTAGTGCCGCTAATCAACACAACAACAAAACGACCAGAGGACATTAGCAATGACGAGGTACTGGTCTAAAAAATAAACTGAACAGAATTAATGATCAAATTGGACATCAATTGTTTTTTGGAAAGTGGTCACTTCCCCGTGAAATGCTGTCTGTTTGCTGCCAATTTAATCCTTTTTCTGTGGAATTTTTCTGACAGTATCGGTAGCGGCCTATAGAATGATATGACCTTCACAATAATTAGGATACTAACACTTGGTAGATGTTTTGGATTAAATTTGTCTTTTCTTTTGTTTTAGTTGACTCTGGACATATCACCAGAGCTACCATTAGCCAAACCCTACATTGCAGCCAAGTTTGATGCCCAACACCTTCCTAGGGAGTTCAATCTTGGCAACAAAGACCAGTTAGGAGGATACGCCAACCGACCACTTGACCATGGGATGAAGTACAAGACGTTCCTACGAGCCTTCACCGTAGACACTGTAAGAATGACCTCTGCCATTTGGCAATGAAAGACTCTGACATTGGTAGTAAACCTTTGACGAAATGACTTCCATTTTGGAGACTTTGGACATGAGTTATCATTGCTTTTTGCTTTTTAAGACCTGTCTTGGATGGTTGTCACAGTAAATTGACCTTAATTGCTGTCACACTTACCTTTGACATTTTAGCATTGATTAAAAAAAGCAACTCTACCAATTCCATTAAAGTTCACAAAAGCTTGATTTTAATGTTATGTTGTAAACAATTGTATGAATTTTGAAGAAATAACTTTGATGGTGTGAATGTTGAAAATTGTGTCAATTTTCTTCGAGTTGCATATGAGTTGAAATTTGTTTGATCATAACTTATTGCAACTCTTGGATATTTCAGAAACTCTACAAAACCAGTCCATATTCTGAAATTATCAACCTGAACCATAATAATCACATTCCTATGAATCCAAAAGAAAATAATGTTCACCCAATCCCACAATCTGCTGAAGCTAGTGAAAAAAGTCTGCTTATCATCATGATCGTGGCTCCAGTCTGCGCTGGTGTGGCTCTCATCATCATTGGATGCATCATACTTATCTGGCATATGAGGTGAGTTTCATAAAAAGTATCCTTTACCCTTGAGACTAGTAGATTTGGAGTGGGTGGGGAAGTGTTTTCCACTACAGTAGATGGGTGTTAACTTCTAAGACTTTAATCAAAGACTCCTACTTTGAACACTTTTAACACACGTTTTGATTGGCTCAAGCTGAACTTTGACTGAAAGGGTACTTCACAAACTTAAGGGTTAGAAAGTAACAAGTAGTTCATAGTTGCTATTGTAATGATTTTTATTTGGATTTATCTCTTTAACTTTGAAGATAACAAACCAATTTACTTATTTTATAGTGAGTTATGGATATCGCCATGTATTTCATAATTTCTTTCATTTGCATAAGTTACATTCTAAAAGTTACAAAAACCACTTGCTAAAGCTCATGGTCTTTGTAACTTTTGAAAAATAACTCCGACAAGTGAAATAAATACCTTATACCACAACCACTCTTGTGGCCTCTATAATATAATCTACCAGCATATTAATCTATAAATATGATTTATTTGTAAGTTCATCCTCACATATACTCTAATATATACTGATTTTCAGTGCAATCATCTACATTTCACTTGTAATGAATTCCACCTATTGATTTTGAGTCCAAGTGAGTGATTGGCACATTGGTATTATTGCAGAAAAAAATACTAACTATAATAATTGTGCCACAGGAAAGCAACCCCAGCAAGGAGTTTATACAATAAAATATGCTTAACAGGTGTCATATTCCAAATTTTAAATTTACTGTAGGAGGAAGGCAACCCGAAAAGAGAAGAATCCGGAACCATCTTCCGGTAAAGTGTTTGTAGATGTACCCCCTCATCCATGTGATCCTGTGGAGCTTCGCAGACAACACTATCAAACACCAGGTATGATCTCATGGTCATCAGAGTTAAAAATGAAATTTCATCAAGGTCACATAGGTCGAAGGAGAGTTTACTGTTCACAAGAATCAAATGAGACATTCCCAACACCAAGGGGCATGTATTTAACATTTTTTCACAAACTTCATGTTCCAAGGACATGGATATCTCAATCTGGGTGTAAGAGTATCCTGGTCAGCATGGGGCTTGTTGAATGTAAGAGTATCCTGGTCAGCACGGGGCTTGCTGAATGTAAAAGTTTCTTCATCAGCACGGAGCTTGCCACACTCTTATATAAGTTTCAAATCTGTCTTGAGAGCACTCATATTCTATCTAATGCTGGTGAGTTTTCATTGGCAATATTAACAATTTAATTCGTGTCCTTTTCTTAACTATGACATTTTCATTACAGATTTTCAAAGATTTTTCAAGAAAGAAAAGAATCCAATTTACAAGCTTACAAAAATGCATCTTTTACCAGAGTTTTTTCACATATTGAAAACATTTTCACTCAAAAGAATTTGTTGGCATATCCTTAATATATTTCACAAATTTGTTTTATTCAGGTATGATCAGCCATCCACCCATCCACATCCACATGCTACAGGAACACATTGACAACCTGAAGAATAATGACAATCTAAAATTCTCTCAGGAGTATGAATCCATAGAACCAGGTCAACAGTTCACTTGGGACAACTCTAACTATGAGGTCAACAAACCTAAAAATAGATATGCAAATGTAATAGCCTATGACCACTCCCGTGTGATCCTCCAACCTATTGACAGTGTCCCTGGCAGTGATTATGTCAACGCCAATTACATGGATGGATATCGTAAACAAAATGCTTACATAGCTACACAGGTATGAATATCCATTAGTATGTGCCATGAAAAATCCATATTTTGCTTTGAACTAATAAGCTTCACTATAAGAAATAGGATGAAATGTAAATTAGTTATAGGAAAGGGGAAACAACTCACACATACCACAAGTTTACTTGTAAAGAAATGCTTATGCTTAAATGAAACACTAAAACCATAATATTATTTGACAAAATTATTAAACTTGCCTCAATTAAAATGGAGTTTTGTTTAAAATACCTTTCTGATATCAATTCAGGGACCACTTCCAGAAACATTTGGAGATTTCTGGCGGATGATGTGGGAGCAACGATCGGCAACAATCGTCATGATGACTAAATTAGAAGAAAGGTCAAGGGTCAGTATCAATATAGAAGGGGTTCATCCTAAACAGACTCACCCAGTCAGCATTGTAGCTAGATGAAGTAGTTACACAAACTTTAAAGTGGGAAACATTCATAAGGACTTTTTGCTCTCACTTACAGCTATTCATTTTTGTGTTGTGCTAACCCTAAAATGACAAACTTATTCCAGCTTTAGCTTCACACTTTTCCCAAGCCTTTTATATGTGTCTTATTGACAAAATGGTGGTTCCATTTCCCAGTATAAAGTATATATATATATATATATATCGTATATATCTTTGTTTATCATCAGAAATAGGTGCTTTATCTATCATTAACAAACTTTATTTCAAACACATTGATATTTAACACTGGACATCAAACATTTTCACATTGGACATCAGACACTTTTACACTGACATCAACCACTTTTACACTGGACATCAACACGTTTGCACTTGACATCAGGCATATTTTTTACACTGGACATCAGGCATATTTACACTTGACATTAGACACATCTACACTTGACATCAGACACTTTTACACTTGACATCAGACACTTTTACACTGGACATCAACACTTTTACACTGGACATCAGACACTTTTACACTGGACATCAACACTTTTACACTGGACATCAACACTTTTACACTGGACATCAGACACTTTTACTCTGTACATCAGACACTTTTACACTGGACATCAGACACTTTTACACTGGACATCAGACACTTTAACACTGGACATCAACACTTTTACACTGGACATCAGGCATATTTACACTGGACATCAGCCGCATTTAAGATATGAATATTTGATGCTATCAACAAATAATCCTTGAAAAAGGAAGCAATAAGTATTGGATTGAAACCATAGCAGTTAAAAAGATTACCAGAGAATGTTATGCAAATACTTAGTATTGTTTCATGTTAGCTAGTCAATCAATGGTTCATGAAAAAATTGTGACTTGTTTGTGTTTTCAGATAAAGTGCGACCAGTACTGGCCTCACCGTGGAGCAGAACATTATGGCTTAATGCACGTCCTACTTGTGGATGTGACAGAACTCTCCACCTACACGATACGCACCTTCCATATCTCCAGGGTAGGTAACTCTAAATACCAAACCTTGTTTAAATCACATTTCAACTGTTCATCCTCAGATACCCTCAGTTTACATGTCAACATAAGAGTTCCACTGACTGTTTTGTCCAACTTTGAGATGTATTTTTGAAATTATCATTTGAATGTAAAAGGAAGTGATTGTTAGCACTTTATCGGTTATACATAAAACATTTAATGTGCAGTACTTGAATGACTCATGCTTGTGAAAGGTCCTTCTGTAATTGTGAATAATTTACTCTCAGATACATGTACTTATTTACTGTACTCTCTAACTAACAACAACTTGTTGCTCGCCTACAGTACGGGTTCCCAGAGAAGCGCGAGATTCGTCAGTTCCAGTTCACCGCCTGGCCTGACCATGGCGTTCCGGATCATCCCACACCACTCCTCATGTTCATGAGGCGTGTCAAAACTAGCAACCCTCCCGATGCTGGGCCCATGGTAGTACACTGCAGGTAAATATATTCTTAATCAATATCAAATACCGTGACATATGTAAACTATGCACTTCGTAAAACTTTTAAATATATTGTTTGCTTCTCTTTTACATGTTCACCAGTGATACAAATTAAGATTTTTGATATATCAAAATTTTGAATATATACCAGGTGATATATTTCAAAAAAGATTTGTAAGGTATTATGGAACTGCAAGCTTTATTGATTTTACTTATTAGTTAGAAAAGACGGTTACCATAACCAGAATTTTCACCACCACAAACTATAAAATGAATTATCATAAAACTTTTTATTCTTCAGTGCTGGTGTTGGGCGTACAGGAGCCTTCATAGTCATAGACGCCATGTTGGAACGAATCCGACATGAAAAGACTGTTGATATATATGGTCATGTGACCTGCTTACGAGCACAGCGTAACTATATGGTACAGACAGAGGACCAGTACATATTTATCCATGATGCACTCTTAGAAGCAGTTACTTGTGGAAACACTGAGGTACCCGCACGTAACTTGTCAGTACACATACAGAAACTGATGCAACCAGAACCAGGAGAAACAGTTACAGGCATGGAATTGGAATTCAAGGTAATGCATCTCATCATTCGGTACTTTTGACAAGAATTGTCTCCCTTCAAAGTTAGACTGTTTCTGGATTTTTGTGGGCCATACCTGTTGAAGTTTCAGTAGAAATGCCAACGGAATAATGCTATATCAATGTTGAGTAAATTCATCTTGACTTTGGGTCAGAGGGTAGACTGTTGGTTTTGGACTTATTACAGAATCTTAAACTGGTAAATATTTCCTGACATTGTGCAGATGGTATTCCACTAAGCAGTTTATCTCTACCATTTTGGTAATGATGAATAATTTTTTTCTTACAATATGTATTTCACTTCAGGATGCAAATACTTAACAATCGGTCTTTTTCCTTTTTTCTTTTCAGCGATTAGCAAACATGAAGGCCAGTCCAAATCGCTTTGTTAGTGCAAATCTTCCAGTGAATAAATTCAAGAATAGACTTGTTAACATTTTACCTTGTAAGTATATTGAACACAATGTGATATCTCGGTATACTGAAAACCCTTTCAGCATCATCTTTTATATAATAAAAAAATTAATTGATTGTATGAAGAAAAGTTGATCAATGTTTGAAGTTGTGAAATATGAATAAGAAAGATGAAGTGATTTAAAAGGGAGTGAACTTGAATCTAAGCCATTTTTCTTAATATAGTATTTTTCATGCAATAACTGATGAAAACTTGTTAAATTCAGTTGAATCTACAAGAGTAGCCCTACAGCCAATCAGAGGAGTTGATGGATCTGATTACATCAACGCTAGTTTTATAGATGTAAGTATTACATGGCTGCAAATGTTGTCATGCTTCAGAGCGAATTCAGAAATCCATATTCTTGAACATCAACCAATAAAGCAAGGGAGATATATGTTACTGAATCTCTTAAAAGGCCAACACTACAATATACACAAATACAGAAAGATAATGTCATTTTAGTCAGCCATTTTTTAGAACATGTTTTCAACTAATGAAATTTCTAAAGTTAAAAATATGTTATGAATGTTTTCTTTTTTTTATTTGCAGTATTTAGATAATTTTGTAACCAGTACTCTGAGAGATCTGGGTTTTTCAACTCTTGCTTCAAAGTGCTAAATTTCCATAGATATCAAACATTATCACCTTTTGTTACAGGGGTACAAATACTGCCAAGCCTATGTGGCAACCCAGGGCCCGCTATCTGAGACTACCGAGGACTTCTGGAGGATGCTTTGGGAACACAACTCAACCATTATTGTCATGCTCACCAAGCTCCGAGAAATGGGTCGTGTTAGTATCAAATTTTCCAAAAATAGCTTCAGTGTTATGTATCTAATTTGACAGAATCTATTTAAAGCTAGTTTATTTCGACCTTGTACTGGACACACAAATAAATTTGAAACTGTTTAAGTTTAGTCCATGGAAATTCTTTGAAAATAAAAGCCCTATTGAATGCAGCTAGATTCTACATGTGTCCGTGTTTCATGGTTACAGGAGAAGTGCCACCAGTATTGGCCCAGTGAGCGGTCAGCAAGATACCAGTACTTTGTGGTCGACCCAATGGCTGAGTACAACATGCCACAGTATATCCTGAGAGAGTTCAAGGTTACAGATGCCAGGGTGAGTTCTGCAGAAATTTGGCAGTGATGTTTCAAATTGTTTTCTTACATGAAAATATTTAATGAAATTATTTATCTTCAATTTGCGCGAAGATTTTCATACCGTTTGTATATCAAATTCTTGCAAGGAATTTTGAACAATATTTCAGAGAAAGATTGTGAAGAATTTCCTGTCAACCAGTTGTTTTCACTGCTAATAATTTTTGTAATTTCACTACTTCAGACTATTTGTAGAGATATTTTTTTAATGAGTGTTTTATATCTGATCATCTTGTTATGAAATTAACATATTTGTGCTGATTGATTTTTTTGCGACTGTTTTGATAAGAAAACATTTCATAAACAATTGCTCACAAGTATTGATTGATATATAGTATTTTGTTACATATAAACCTAGGCATCAATGTTTTTTAATCAGTTATACAAATATTTATTTCTGCCATATTTCTGTTACAAACAGGATGGTCAATCTCGAACCATCAGACAGTTCCAGTTTACAGACTGGCCAGAGCAGGGAGTGCCCAAATCTGGAGAGGGATTCATTGACTTCATTGGTCAAGTCCACAAGACAAAGGAACAGTTTGGACAGGAGGGACCAATCTCTGTCCACTGCAGGTCAGTACTCATCCTATAATATCCTCATTTTCTGTATCATAAAGTAGTGGTGAACTGTTTAGCTTTAAGGGGTACTGACCATCACTGATATGATCTTGTAAAAATTGGATCTTTTGAAAACAATACTGTATGCAGCTGACATTAAAGTATGCTGCTGCCAAAAACGGATTTTCATCACTGACTGACAGCAGGATCAACCAAATTTGCACATTTCCTTTACTTAAATATAATGAATATATATATATCAATAAGATGAAACTTTATATGACTGTAATACTCCATTTTGGTTGCAGTGCTGGTGTTGGTAGAACAGGGGTGTTTATAACACTCAGCATAGTTCTAGAGAGAATGCGGTATGAGGGCGTCGTGGACATGTTCCAGACAGTCAAAATGCTGAGAACGCAAAGACCAGCTATGGTTCAGACAGAGGTAGAGTTCTTAGAATTAAAAAGACTTCTTGTGCTTAAAGACTTCAATTCTCAACTTTTAACAATACTTGTCACTGTCAAAATTATCGGACACAAATTAGTATGTTCAATTGTATGAAATGATAGAGTAAGATAAGAGACTTTTGGTTGCCAGCACAGTTTAACTTGCAAGCATACAGGTCAAGTAGTATTTCACCTTTTTTCCTAGTTTTACCTCAAAAGTGTGTTTTTCTTTTATTTTCAATATCATGAACATTTATATAAAACATTTACCCTTGTTCAGTATCTTTGTCACCATATGACATTGAAAATTCTTATTTTTCTATCAAACTTTACGTAAACTTTTTTCTTTAATGATTTTATCCCTTAGTACATGTACTTTTATAGGAAGTTTTCTTACTAAAATTAAGTCGGATTAATGACTTGTTTTTTTTTTAGGATCAGTACCAGTTCTGTTACCGAGCAGCCCTGGAATACTTGGGCTCTTTTGACCATTATGCAGCATAGGCATGTTGCTGTACCAACAAACACAAATGTATCCATGGAGACAGTAATGATGACCAATGTTATGCGACACGATCATGTGACACAGTCAAGACCATGTGACTATACAACAGCCAAATAATTCTGTGTTTATCAACAGTGTCTGTATTGGTAAAACCATGGAAACCAAATTTTCTCTGTGGTTGTGTTGTTCAACCTGTTTAAATTTCCATATGTCATTCATTGTCAGACAATTCGAGGAAGACAATGCACAAGACATAAATCGATGGATTTGTCAAGTATCGTAGTCAAGGATATTTATATAGGAAAAGGACCAATTCTTTACTGAAGATGAGAATATGAACGATAGTCGGAATGACTCAAAGAGTCATTGCATAATGTGCAATATTTATACTGACCGCTGCACCCAATGATAAGTGTGTTAAAAACATGCTGGACATCTTGGATGTTTGACCTCTGGTGATTTTAGAAATGGACCAAGTCACTTCACTCATGATGCGGTCATGACTTTCCCATCATAGTGAGGTCAACACCAGATGCGGGACCTGTAAATAACATTTAACGGAGGCCTGTCAAGCAGTGGCAAGTCTCACGTAGGATCAGTGTAACATGGATCAGTGTAACATGGATCAGTGGCCATTTTGACTAGAATTTTTTTATGTCATTTCAGTACCATTGGTGTAGCATTATAGACATAACATAGGATATATACTTAAAACATATGGTACTTACAATGTTATATACAATGTAATGTGGGTCAGTGTACACTCCCCTTCATCTTTATGTTGCCAAAGATAGTATCAGGTGTGCATGGGAGCATGTATGCGGAACGGATCATGATACAATATAACCTTAAAGAGAAAACATGAGTTATCTGCCCTTTGGGTTTGTGATGGAATATTGGCTCTAAGACATTCACTTTGGGAAACATGGACATTTGTATCAAATTGTTCACGAAGACCAAACAGTGATCAGACCATTCATTTACAGATTTATTGATAGTTATGGTGCTTTGTTTTGTTTTTGCCTTTCTGTAGAGTGTGGGTGATAAATGTACTCTTTGTTCAACTGCCTGATCAACAAGTTTAATTAAAACCACCGAATCAATTTTTTTTTAGTCAACCATTACATTATGTTCCCATGACAACCTGTCAGCACTTGTGTCAATATTTATTGTATTGAACTTTGACCCTAAAACTCTGACACCCTGTACTAGTTAGCTGTGTTTTAAAAATTGTGGTTTACTATTGATAGCGGATAGTCATCACCATAGCAACAGATTGCTTTAATTCGAAGCAGAAATAGAACATTGGTCAGCTGTCACTGTGCTTTAACCTTACAAAGTGCTGTGTTATTCTGAGTCTGTTTTTGTGTATATAGGGATTCAGGGAGGGTTATTTATGTAAGGAAGACGAGAAGTGATATGAATGCATGTTTGTGTGAGTAGGCTGCTTGGGAAACCTAGCCGATGGATTGGCTTATGACTTACAAGTTCCAGATAATTGAATATTATTTATCAAGAAATAAATGTGACCATTACCCCAGGTTTGTCTCTCAGTGTAGTGATGTTAAACAAAAGGCATGCAAATTATCACTCAATATTGGAATTATGTGCTAGAATTTTTCATTGTCAAGTTTCAGCAATACCTATTTGATTTTTAACAATGGATAATGATTAACCAAAATATCTGTTCCATATTCCTTTTGCAAACAGGAGAAATTTCGTGACCAGTGAAGTCATCATCTTCAATTTTCATCATGATATTTACATACAGTATTATCAGTGTTCCTTCCAGAGGGATGTGTATTGGATTAAAAAGAACAGTTTTGTCCAGATGTGATGGAGAGACCATACACATGGGTTTAAAGGTCAAGAGGTCACAGTATGGTCAACCAAGAAATCCAGACAGTAGGAACTAGTGTATCTATGGAAAAATTTACACTTTAGTGGAAACTTTGAAGGGATTTTATTTTGCACTCTAGATATATCTCATTGGAAGTCATTTAGGCTGTTATTAAATACAAAACCTTACAAACCACTAAGGGAAATATGATTACTTTAGAAACCTTATGATATAGGATGATCATATGAATAAAGGATATATAATTGCATTCATACATAGATGTACCTGTACATGTTTTTGTGTGAAAAGTGTCTATAATAAAACAACAGGAGAATTCATTTCCATTTTTACATTTTATATGTTATTTTTTGATTTGCCATGTTTGAATACATTGTTTTAATAACAATAGCTGGAAGTATTTATATTGAATTAATTTTTATATATCGCAATATGAACATCACATACATATATATAGATATATATATACACGAACATCCTATTTATCCGTTAAATGACTGGATAAAAAAGCAGAGCCAGTAGAAATTTATATTGTGACATGAGATTTGCGATCAGTCAATATTTCTTGCATGTAGCATCCTTGTGATATGTTGCAATGTTATTGAAATTTCAGACCAATGTTTATTACACAAGGGGACCGAACACAACCACAGAAAATTAAAGGAAGCCAATTAAATAAAACAAAATTCACATCTTTTGCCAAAATTTTTAATATCTACCAAGTATCCATATTGAGCAGATAAGAAACACCATTCCTATCAAACATGGATGTTTTTAATATTGGTTTCTATAGTAACATAAGTCTGTTATTTCAATACAAACTTAACTTCTAAACACACTCCACAAGTGTTGTACATTATACCTATAAACGACCAAATATGTATTGTATTAGTATTGTCAGTCACTGTTGAAGGCAATTTCATTTCTTTCATTGTTCATTTAACCCCCCACTAGTCGGTCATTAGGTCATCGTATTCGTGGTAACGCCATTGTTCATTTGTTTTCACCTCTCATTGAATGTGCTGAATTTTATGTGCAAGACCTTTTTTTTATTAAAAATATTTGCAATGCAATTATTACATATTACCATTATAAATAATTCTTTTGTTTTTGTGAAGACAAGTTTGAACTTGTAACATATTCTTAGTTTTGTGCATAATACTAATGATGATAATAGTATTTAACTTGAGAACGTGAGAGAAGAGATGGAATTGCAAGATGGAGGGACGAGTGCTTTACTTAAATGTAGGTAATTTGATGTTTTAAATGGAAATAATCATTTATACATGTATATGTAATTGAACCACCCCATACACACATAACATAAAGAAAATTATCTAAAAATCAAATATATAGTATATCACTGATGAATCAAATTTAAATATTTGTAATTTTCCTTTTCATATCTAGGATTCTCAATGTAGAAATCAGGATTTTAATCAGTGCCATTTCCAAACCAAATTAAAAATTTGATTGGTAATATTCTTTAAAGCTATTAGAAAGTCATTAAATTTTAATCCTGTTTACTTTGTCAATGTATTGAAGGAATTGTTATATTACATCCGATCGTAAACAATGTGGGAAATGGACAATTTAGATCAATTCAAACCAATTTATAGGAAAAATTAGATTTCTATATAAAAATTCTCTCCAATTAACAGAAATCATTTCTCATTATAAAGTGTATCAAGAAATAATTTGTATTATCAGTTCACTATCTGCATATAACATTCAACCAGCTACAAAATTGATACAAAGTCGCCTGGCAAAGTTTTAACAGCATTTGACCAGAAACTGACCCAATTAGTGGATAACTGAGCTTAGATGGTCACTCCAACTGACCATGATTGTATGTAGCTACCCCTTAGATCTCGCTAGCCATGTGCTGTTGGCCAGTAGCTGTTTTGTACTTTCACCGTGACCGGTAGATGACAATCAGTTTTTGGACTATTTTGAGTTTTCAGTATCCATTTTACCCTCCAAGGGTGTGGTAGCATGTATTTCATATATATATATTTGTGTTCAAAATTATAAAATCTCATTAGCAGGTGTAAATCTTGTTAGCAGCTGTGTCTTACTCATTCCTATACCTACTGTAGCGTTCCTCCAGACTTTAATCAAGACACTTTGTGTCCTGAGGTTTCATTCTAGTCATGTGACTCACAGTGAGTGTTTTGTTGGTTACTATGGCGATTGAGAATATGTACAACTTTTTTTAGTTGACCATGTTTTATATATAGCTGTAAGGTGGATCTCCATTTTCTTATATGTTTCTGTGAATCTCTTGTATAAAGATAACTCAAAATAGAAAAAGGTCGTTTTGGATTTTCCTTCAATCTATCCCATAATGCTACCCCTGAATATGTCTGTAACATAAAGTAGTACATGGTCACACCATTGCTGTAAACACTTGTGTTACGATGGCGACTTGTGTCAAATCATCCATAGACTTGTTGGCTCCCTAGCTGCTGATGTACCTACGTTGTATAGTAGTTCTTGTTAGGTTGTCATGGAAATATGTCATTATCTGAGAGTATACAGTCATTGATATCAATAAACTTGGAACAAAGCTGGTGTGTTTGTTGTATTTATATAGTATTTGTATGTATTTATCAATGCCATATTTAGCAAGCAATAAGCCCAAGCCTGTAATGAACTTAACAATATTTATGTGTAGTCAAATTTTAAGCCATTGCCATCAACATGGTGTAATAAGCCCACACTCTGACTTCATATTGATGTGTGATAGGCCAATACTATCAAGGTCATGCAATAAGCCCACACTCTTACTGTCAGTAATATATACTCTGTGTTTTCTCCCTTGGCTTATTGTAAGTTAAATAAGGTATTATATTATCATTATCACCATATCATATTATATAAAAGCCAGCATGGTACAGGTGACCATTGCTGGCAACAGGTTGGTGGCTTTTCTGCAACCTATTCACTGACACACACCTGATACCTGCATGTACTCGTAACGAAGCGGGCCTTTTAGCTGTCTAAATTACATACCAGTTCTGTGGAATACTTCACAAGGCTGCTGTTTCACTTTTATCTGAAAATTGGAAGAAAGCTTACCTTTCGGTCTCTCTCACCACCAGGATAAATACAATTCACGGTGTCCGTGCGTAAACCACTACACTGTGGCCCGGAAGTATACAAAAAAGTCCGGTTGGTACCCGAAAACAAACCAAATCCAGATAGGTCCAGAACACAGATTAGATAGGTCCCGAACACATATTAGATAGGCCTCGAACACAGATTAGATAGGCCCGACCACATATTAGATAGGCCCCGAACACAGATTCTGGACATGCTTCAACTGCTAGAGTTAAAATGAGGCATCATTAGGCCCGAGAATGGTCTTCCAAAACTAGAACGATCACAACTACAGACGGTTCCAACCCACTGAGGGGGTGCAGGTCGCCCCCTCAAGTCGCCAGAACACTGACGTTCGTCGGTGAAACGATATCCGGACACGGGAAGAGTCACAGAGCCGAAAAACCAACCAATCAACGAACGATTGGACTTGTGGTCAGTTGAAGCTGGGCTTGAGTTAACACCATTAATAAGTATGAAACTGCGCAGATAAAGGTGAGCGGACCTTTTTCATAGGGAAAAACCCAGAGTACTTGGCATACAATATAACGGCCGATCTGAAAAACAATACTTGATCAATCTGGTGAATGCCATGTGTTTAGAACGCATAAACTAATTGGCAAGTTGGGGTGGAGTCACAAAAGAGATACATTCCTATTGTGAAGCGATATCGTTATTCGATACGAAACTCAATCGTGTCAGCATGTTGGATACTGGCGGGATACATTTTTGTGGAAAAAAAGTCGTTTTGATTTAGATAGTATTAAACCTATCAAAGTGAGTTATAACCTGGTATGTTTGGAAATTGGGAGAACGTGTCAACATCTCAACTCATACTATTAAGAATATTAATACATCATAACTTTCGTTCTCTAGGTCAGATATTTTTAAAACATTTCTAGTGCCATCTTTTACGATGTCAGAACGTCTTTTGGAATTTAAAATGGATCATCTTTCTCCGTCTTCTTGAAAGTTTGACTATGCAAAACATTCCAATGTGGCTGTTTTTCTATGCAGACGGCATCGTTTGTAAACTTATCATGATTTCTCTTTACGATAGGAGCGGCTCCTGAAAATGTAAGCAAATTTATTGACAGGCAATATCAGCTTGAAAATATGTAGTTAAAGGGCGTCCACTGGATAGCATTGAAGTAGTCATGAATATCCATGTGATGAAAGTTGATGAAATGTATTTGTAACAGAGGCCCTGATTTATTCTAATGCCGTCACTAGGATTTAAACCGGGGACCTCTGACTTACTAGCCTGACGCTCTCTCTAGTCGAACGGTATATTACGGCTGGTATTTTACCAGGCCGTACTCCCCCTCAAAGAAATAACTCGTCCTTGAGTTTCCAGAGGTTACAGCGGTACTTGTGAAAGTGACGCCAAGTATTATTCTCGAGTCTCTACGTGGGCGTCAATGTAACAGAAGTCATTGTTCATTTCATTGTCTCCACTAGGATTCGAACCGGGGACCTCTGACTTACTAGTCTGACGCTCAGCCGATCGACCTAAAGAAATGTTTTCGCTAGCCGAGCACTATATTACAGCTAGTGTTTTACCGGGGTTACATTTTGAAATTGACTATCTATGAAAAAGAAATATGAATAGACATGCACAAGCACGACGTGTACACTTTTAGTTTGTATGGTGTTAATTCATTTTTGGATCGCTGTGTGTTTTCCCGGTTGATGGAATTTAACTTACCCTTTCAAGGAAATCATATGCGATCAGAATGTTGTGGGAAAATTGCTAGGGAATCTAAATATTAATAAGTCACAGGGACCAGATAAAATGCTCCCTAAAATTCTGAAAGAGATAAGGAAAAATATAAGTTGACCTTTAGCAGATATCTTCAATAAGTCATTAACAGAGGGGCAACTGCCACAGGCTTGGTAAAGAGGCAAGCATAACGACCATTTATAAAAAAAGGATCAAAGTCTGACCCAGGAAATTACATACCTGTAAGGTTGAGCACATGGACAAAAATAATCTTCTGACCCCCAAACAGTTTGGTTTTGTGTCTGGAAGGTCAACACAACTGCAGTTGCTAACAGTACTAGAAGAATGGACAGAGATAATAGATAAGGGCGGGAAGTTGGATGTCATATACATGGACTTCATGAAGGCGTTGGACAAAGTGCCATATCAACGCTTACTGAAGAAATTGTCAGGATATGGTATAAGTCCTCAAGTTGTTAACTGGATACAAGACTTTATAAGCAATAGATGCCAACGAGTAATTGTCAATGGCGAATCCTTTAAAACATACCCAGTACTGAATGGTATCCCGCAAGGAAGCGCATTGGGTCCCATATTATTTGTTGTATCTATCAACGATCTACCTGAAATACCCAAATCTCGATCGCCACTCTTTGCTGATGATACCAAGTTTTATAGACAAGTAAACAACGAACATGATATCGAAATACTCCAAAATGATTTAGATAATCTTCAGAATTGGTCCAACGAACGGCTACTGAAATACCACCCTAGCAAATGCAAAGTTCTTTCAATTAAGGCAACCCAAAAATGAAATTATTATACGGAAGGATCTGGAGGAGAAAAAATTCAGCTGGAGCACGTTAGTACATTGGTGTCACCATAGAAGAGGATTTAAGCTTCCGAGCACACATACAGTCAGTGGTTAACAAAGCAAACAGTATACATGTACTAGGACTAATTAGAAGATATTTTTCTTACCTTGATGAGTCAATGTTTAAAATGCTCTAGTGCGACCCTACCTGGAGTACGACGCCAGTGTATGGAGCCCGTCAAAATTAAAAGATATAGAACTTATTGAAAACATACAGAGAAGGGCCACAAAACTGCTTCCTGGATTTGAAAATCTCTCATACCCGGAACGGCTGAAAAAACTAAATCTTCCGACACTTCAACACCGAAGGACCAGAGGAGATATGATTAACGTTTTTAAGATAGTAAACAACATATATCATAGCAGGGCAACAAGGAACGTTTTTGAAATGGACAGTATAAGCAGAACTAGAGGTCATAACAAGAAAATATTCCAAAAACGATGTCGCCTTGATATTAGAAAGCACTTTTTCAGTTACCGAGTTGTGGATTTGTGGAATAGTTTACCACAAACAGTAATAAATGCGGACTCTGTCATAAAATTTGAAATAAGGTTAGATGAACACTGGAAAAATATCCGTTTCTATACATGATTGTACATTTAAGCCATTACACAGGAATTACTTACCATGCAATATGTAATGTTTGATATGGACATAGAGGTTTTAAGCCTGCGTCCATTATTTATGCTAATAAATCCTAATAAATGACCCTTATGACGTTTTATGTGCTGACGGACCGTTAAGAATGTCATAATAATAACAATGAAGAAGAAGTTGGAGAGTCAATAATACATATTTTTCTTCCTGTCTCTGAAAAGTACAACGCATACCAAATATTCCATCTAATTAAAATGAGACTTGTAATTCCTCTACGATACACATGGAAAAAATATTGAAGCTTGCGTATCATCCACCTCATATGAAGTTAACACAAATGGATTCAGCGTGGGCCGTTTTTTTTTTTTATCAAAATATTAATTTTGATTATCAGACTAAGTTCGTCGATTTTTAGAAACAACTTGTTAAACCTAATAATTAATGTTTTCTGACATAATATTGCATTTAATATTCAAATTCATTAAGATTACCAGCTAGAGTCACAAGTCGTGTATCCCTATTTGTATCATCACATCGTCATTGGATACGAAGCCCAATGGTGTCGATAGGTTGGATTATTTCCGGGTATAACTTAGTGACACGTTTGATAAACGTTGGCTTGCAATTAGACCTATATTAAAACATATATACTCTATTTATACCACTTGTTTGCGTGTCAGTATGTCGATTGATACCTAAGGTTAGTCCATTTTGTCCCCCTCTTCCTGGAAATTCTCGCTATTCTTAACTTTCAAATATGACTGCATTTTTAGTCGAAGGTTGAAAATGTGTGCAATGCGATATACCACGAGACATCACACCAATTAATATCGAGACATCACACCAATTAATATCAATCATTGTGAATCTAAAATCGGCGGCTAGCTGTTAGCATCCTTCGTTCGTAGTCTCAGTAAGTAACCTATTTCAGAATGTCATCTTAAATTTCACAAGTTTCCTTTCGAATACACATACCGTTCCAGTTGTGCACTCATATTAATTTTTCCCCGCAATTGTGTTGTCCTATTTGTATCAGAAAATGGTATTTTCAATAGCATTATGAAGAGGTACAGATGGAATTTGGTCATTTAAGGGCCTTAAGGGCCAAGTGAGCCTATAACGTACCGTGGTGTCTGTCAACTTAAATAGATCACTACTGGTCACCAACGACAGAGGCATCCTTAGTGGAAGAGGGCTTACACATGAACCCCTTCATAGTCTTACCAAATTTTGAACAAAACAGTTACTCTGACAACTTCAATGTGAAATAAAAGCAATATTATATATAAATCTGCAAATGTATGTCTCTGGCTATCGAGAATAGTAACTTTCCCTCACATTGATATAACTTTGACAAACCTTGATTAAAAATTAGTTGTGTCATTTTTAGATGAAAATGGCACATAATTTCAGTTCAGTACAGGTAAACACGGCATCAATGTACGTGTATCGATGAGTCAATAAGACAGAATGCTGTTTAATATAGTACATAATCATAATGTTTTCTGATCAAAGTACATTTGATATTTCGAAATAAGGAATTTCTTATGTAATTAATGAAATGTATATATACATAGTTTACGACTGACATTTGTAACCATGGGTGTGAATCTATACGGACTGATTTACTTACAGTAAATAAAACAAGAATGACGAATCATGAAGAAGTTGTACAATGTATATACAATGTTGACCTTGTTACTAACATGTACAATTATTTTTAACGAGAAGTTTACATGCAGCCGTGATTATAAAAGAGACATTGATTTCGTTTTATCTGGGTTCAGAATGCTTTCAGATACATTCGGGAATTTTAAAGAAGTAGTACGAGATTTGATGAGATTTTCGGAAAAAGGTGTGCGGAAGTGATTACGTACATGTCATAGCTAATTGCTTTGTTGTCTGTTTGCTTTCTTTGTTTTTCAATTATTTCTCAGTCAATATCCATATTTCTATAAATAATTTGTAGAACCAGTTCCGTGTCAGTAACTATCAGTCGAAGTGATCCTTAGGTAATGGCCGTAATGACAATTGTTGTACTGTGAAAAGTTATACATATCTTCTCATTCGAAATTTATTTCATATCCCATTTTAATGAAGATACAGTCACGTGCACACACATTTGTACGTATACCTATATATGTAGAGAGATACTGAGTAACTCCAGTAAAATCTTCTAAATTGACTATTCATTATATACCATGGCTATTTATATCCCCTCCCATGGACACAGAGTAATTATTTTCTCACAGTATTGCCATCATCTGCACAGCTCATATGGTCAATTATAAATTTACTATTAAGGGGTGGCACATGTGGTAATTTCCATTTCATTATCGCTACATTGTATCAATTATGTAAGTAAACCACGAATTAGCAAGCGGTGCTTTTTCCTTTCCAATCATCGGCATATTTGACTTTCAAGACTTGGTTAAGATATTTAATTATGTTTGCGTGCTAGTATCGCATTTAGTACATTGTATATCATAACATTGGACTTCCATAAAAATAACGGACTTGTTGCTTGATGTTGTAACAACCAAGCAAATGGATTACATAAATGAATTGACTTATTGACTGCTATTTATGAATGTAAGTGATAAATCTGAACGAGATATAAAATGTACAAGTTCAATGAATTCGAGATTCGCTCTGTACTATGTATTTATATTGGATAGAAGCATTGCCACAGGAGAGAAAAAATGTCTTTTTGAAAAAGCTGTGGTTAATGAATTTCTAATCATTGTCCTCCTTTTCCTTGGTGTAATGGGTTACTTTCAGATATAGTTAACGGTAAATATTGCAGATCCCGTCCGATTCGAATCATTGATCAAGAGTTTTCAGTTGTATATCTTCAAATCTTAATTGCGACTGTAATAAACAATTGTAGTGTCCAAATGTATTTTCAAATTCTAGATTGTCTCGCAGTTTAATTAGTTTTAATCAAATCCATGGGCGTCTTTATCATACGAACCTGACAATATCAGATGATTTCTTCGGATATTAATTGTAGTAATGTGTGAAATCATATTGGACATAGAGTCAGATGGTGAGAAATTAGCTCATGATAGAGGTGGCTATAGTTCACACTTGTCCAAGTAAAAACCACAGGAGTTAACAGTTTGGGTTTTAATGGCGCGTCCTTCGAAATAACAGACCATGTGCACCCATATAATAAGATGTTATATTTTTATTCAATATGTATTATTGAACTGAATTGTAACATTCTGATGTTTATGATAATCAGTGAAGGTGGTTATTTTTGTTTGTGATTTTAAAAATGGATATTTATGCTATCAAAGATTCAAATTCAAAATAAGTTGGACATGTAATCTACCATACTATTACGGACCAGTGTATGTGTAATAGTGCAAATTCTTTAACAAAATCATTCTTCTTTTGTAGGAATTGCAGGATTCTGTTCCACTTTGGTTTGAAGCATGTTTTGGTGGAAGTGATTTTTGTATAAATGGTTTGGGGCAGAAGATTTGGGTCCAGTTAGATAGAAACATATGGAATTTCTTTCCATTTTGTTTGGATGAGTCAATTTCAGCCAAACAAAGCCAGGCTAGCTATGTCTGTTCTATGGACATCTTGTTTTCTAAATGGGCTTGTTTGAAAGTTCACAGAAAAGCGATTCTTACGTGGGTAGCCGAACCGGCTGGGGCGACTACGTATAGCGCTACCTTAAATCCCAACAAATCGGATATTCGTTTTCTTGTTTTAGCTAACAAATTGATAAAAAGAAGTCTTAAAAACAAATATTCACAACCCCAAAGTTCAAAAGAGTAATATAACCGGGAAGGTGTTCAAAGTAATATTTAATTTGTATGCAAATACTAAATCTTGTGTCAAAAATGGAAATGAATTGTCAGAAATGTTCAATTGTAATATCGGGGTAAAACAGGGAGAAAATTTATCACCGTTTTTATTTTCAATTTATCTTAAAGATCTGGAAGATTTTCTTGCAGGAAATAATGTTAATTGCCTTCAAACAATAGAAACTTTGAGTGAAAATATAGAAATGTACTTAAAAGTGTTTATTCTTTTGTATGCAGATGACACCATTATTATGTCTGAAACAGCGGAAGGACTTCAATCTGCTCTTAATACTTTTGAAGTATATTGTAATACCTGGAAGCTTAATGTTAATACTAACAAAACCAAAATTGTTACATTTGCAAAGAGAAAAGGTCGTACAGCCTTCCATTTTACATTGTGTAATGAAGAAATTGAAATTCTTGATGAATTTCCTTATTTGGGTGTTTTAATTAATTACAACGGAAGTTACTTTAAAGCTAAATCTAAATTAATTGAGCAGTCTAAAAAAAGCAATGTTTGCTGTTTATAAGAAAATTAGAAATATTCAGCTTCCAGTAGACCTTCAGTTGAAGATTTTTGACTCACTTGTGTTGCCTATACTTTTATATTCAGTAGAAGTTCGGGGTTTTCAAAATTTAAGTGCCATTGAAAAACTTCATTTACAATTCTGCAAACGTATTTTAGGTATTAGAAGAAGTACACCAAATTTTATGATTTATGGTGAAATGGGGAGATTCCCTTTACTTATCGAAGCTAAAAGCAGAGTAATTATATTTTGGTATGAATTAATTACCTGTAATAACTTGTCAAGTATCATGTATAACTTAATGTACAATCTACAAATAAGTGGCAATATGGATTTCAAAAGGTTGAAAAATGTTCAAAATATATTTATAGAAACTGGTTTAAACTTTATCTGGGACTATCAGAAAATATGTACATTTAATAGAAATTATTTGAAACTTGTTAAGCAGAGATTACTAGACCAGTTCATACAAAAATGGTTCAGTGATGTAATTAATTCCTGTCGAGGAAATACCTATAGTACAATGAAAAGTAATTTTGAATTAAAAAAATATCTCTTGAAACTTAAACCTAGAGAAAGACAAATTATCGTTAAATTCAGAACTTCAAATATGCATTTACCTGTAGAAACAGGAAGATGGATTGGAATACCAAGGGAGAACAGAATTTGTAATCTTTGCTCAAATGAAATTGGCGATGAATACCACTATCTTTCTAGATGCGATCATGAATCAGTTCGTAGAATTAGAGATAAATTTATCCCACGTTACTATTCTACTTATCCTAGTCTTACAAAAATGCATGGACTTTTTTTTCTGTATGTAATATTAAAGTTTTATCAAATCTCAGTAAATTTCTTGAAAAGCTTGCTAATCTATTGAATGTACGTAGCCGAAAGAATATTATGTATGTAATTGTTTACCGCCATGCCAAGAATGTTAGATTTTGTAATCTGGCCTCTTGTAACATACTTTGTATGTCTGAGAGTACCAATAAAATATGAAAATCTGAAAAATCTGAATCCCAAAGTTACATCGTAATCAAAGATCTGTAAGTATTAGAAAGTAGCAAATTAATTTTGTATATAATTTTTGATAATAAAAACGAAAATATGACAAAAATCATTTCTGTGAACAGATAAAAACACTCCGTTAAATATATTTTTTCTCTTAAGAATAATCACAATTCTTATAAAGAGGATGAAAATCTTTTTAAAAACCCAGTTAACCGATTAAATCTTTTTTTATATCGAAGGCAGAAATTATTTACATTTCGGAAATCGCTGTGTTAAGAATGCAAACTACTGCTTTTGTGTTTCACGCTACCAAAATGCAGTGTCCGGCAAGAGTTGGGACGGCTATGGGCTCAAGCCCATGCAGCTTCCTGTTCCTATAAGCCTATTCAAAAATTGTCCATTGTATTGTATATGAAATGCTATATCTTGTGAAAACATTCGTCTCCTCGCCCACACCGCTTTGTCCAACTTCAGTAAACTACCGGGCAGTACGTTACAAGTTACAATCCGGTGGTTGCAATTTTGAAAGGCCTATTTCCAATAATCTATCGAGAAGTCAGATATGTTTTCTTAAAATAAAAACCATTGCTTAAGAATACTATGTAATTTTTGGGACAAATCAATATATCTTCCGCGATGCGTCACATTCTAAACATTTAACTTGATTATTCTACAACATTAAACTAGTTGGCAGTCTATCCGGATTTTAGCCTCACCCTTAACCGGAAGTTGCGTAAAGTATCAATTTCCTATGCAATGCACATGGTTTTGTTATTGACATATTGCAATCATTTTAGAAATACGTTTTTTGAGGACGATATGTAGAGTTTTCACGGATCTTTACAACCAAAATGGATTACATAGAAGATGGACAATTTGAAGATGCAGTGGAAGAGTCAGAAACCGGGTAACTGTCTGACTATAAATAAATGCCTGACTTGATTATGGGGATGCTTTCCTACTGACTATAACTTAATAGTTAATGCCTTCTTCAACTTTTATTCTTAAATCTGTATCCATCTTAATTCATCATTGTTTAACATCTCGATAGTTATTATTTATGATTTGTTGGTGTTCATCACATATCACAAAATTAAGCAATTAGGCTACTCACAGACAATGCATAAAACTATGATCAAGTCACGTGTAAGGATATGTTGATGAAAATAATCTACATTAAGGAGTCGTTAATGGCTATTTAGGATATTCAGGGTGTAAATGGGGTCATTTTCTCATAGTATAGATATGGAGTAAATCAAATAACACATATTCTAATAATTTTTTTTTTATATTTTTGTCCTCAAAATGCTCTAGGGACATCTTAAATCTCTGTTAAGTTCAAATTCTTTTCTCTTTGTTATTGAGAGTTTAAGACATTTTAATCATTTATCGTCTTTTCTGGTAGTTCCATAGATTGATATAAATTAGTAATTATTATAAATCTCTTTGTTTTTGTTGACATATAAGTCAGCAATTTCATCAGTATGTTGTAATTTTATTTGAAATGTATGTAGATACAACATGCATCAAGACACATTTAGATATTTTTGCAGGCCTTTTGGAGACAACCATCAACAGACCATAAAATATGATGCCAATCTGGAAAGAAAAGGTACATGTAGCAAATAGATGTCATAATTATTACATGCTGAATGGCTCAGTACCCAGATGTAGGATAGTCTGTGATGATGATAATGATGATGATGATGAATGTTTCTCGTCTCTGTGACTCTGCATGTCGTCGGGCATTGTCCAATCGATGTCTGTCAGTTCTCTGGTGATGTTATCAAAGTCTGTGATATACATGAAACTATATATAGCCAGTAAATCAGATAATTGATGGCACCTTATCTTGTTAACTTGATACTCCTTCTGGCTTTGCTGTCAGAGGTGTAAACAATTTTGGAGAAAAGTAATATTTTCTCAATTTTTATTTATAATTATTTTTGAAAAATTGAACAACATTTTGCTGCTTAATATGCAATAAAGCTAACTATGAAATGTTTACTTACATGAATGTATACCTTTTAACTATAATTACCATTCATCTCAACATTACTAACATAAAACAATGACTTACCCATGATATAAATCCTAATTCTTTCTAGTTCTAAATGTTTTATCATTTTATTTAAGATCATTGAAGCATGGTTTTAAGTTTTCCTTCTATCGAGACTCCACTAAATCAAAAAACACCAATTGTATGAGTTCAAAACTATTTCATGAACCATATTTACAACCAGGATTCAATCAACTCCAGACTGATGCGTTAAAAAGAATAATTCAGACTGCTACAAGTCTTTATTCAATCCATTAGTTTGTAGTTTTATATACATTGTTTGATAATTACTGTATGATGTTACAGTAAGTGCGCTCGATCTGCATGAAAACAATTCAACAAACAATACAGGAGATGATGGGTATTGGGAAGAAGAGGATGAGGATGATGATGATAATGATAATTATGATTGGGATGGAATGACTGGAGACTTTACCAAAAAATACAATGCTGTCACATCTCACAGCCAACAGGTAATGTTTACATCTACACAATTCTAACAATCAGTGATGCAATTTAGTGTTGAATATTTCAGAGAGATCTCATCAGTGAATTGCCTGGGTTTTATTTAAGTTAATCAGTGACATGTGATGAGATCAGATTTATGATATCCGTTTTGGATACATTTCCTCATATGAGAGTTGTTGTGAAGACAATCATCCTCAACAAACATATTCAAGTTGATGCAATGAAATTTTCCAACATTTTCACTTTTTCGCAACTTAGCACAATGAAGAATTTGCACATTGTTTATTAGACTTTTTGTCACATTATTAACAATAAAGAAACAATTTAACACAATCATATTTTAAAATAACATAACCACTAAGATTATGTACATTATTTACAGCACACATATAAATGGTTGTAAGTTTTATAAACTCCTGCGTTATCCAGACGTGTTTTGGCTTTCCTTGAGTAGTGCAGTGTAGTTGGGATATTTATACTGATGTATGGTATCAGGAAATTATACATACCAAATAACATAGGTTCATTAAGAATGCAATTTTTTTAATCCTGAAAATTGTGGTTTTAAAGCTGAAAAAGTTATATTAATGAAATAAAAACCTTTTTGATGGTGGAAGAAGCAATTTTAACTGTTTTCATGTAAAATTGTATGATTATGAAATTTCTCTATCAGTCTTGTGTGTTCATTACTGTAACCCTGGTAAATACTAGCTGCTATACAGTTCAGGTTAACACTGCTTCTTTTTTTTTTTTGGTGGGGGGGGGACTCTGTGGGGCTGAATATGGGCCCCATTTTCAGTTTGATTATATTTCATAACATGGCCAAATTACAAAAAATTTAAAGTTTATTTTTTTCCCAAAATGAGATAAAAAGCCCCTATCCCAAATGGAAGGAAAAAAGCCATTGGCTAGAGAGAACTTCTCTTAAGCTCAGTTTGTTGAGCATAAGGCTATTACGCCAGAGACCCCAGGTTTGAATCCTAGCAGAGGCATTGAAATAAACAATGATTTGGAGCTAAAGAAAAGTTCTCTTTAGCCAAGCTGTATATTGCATTTAGTTGTTACCAGGGTTACACACCCCCCTCCTGGAAATAAGTCATCCTCAAGTTTCCATGGGTTACAGGAATGCTTATTGGGCATGGCTAAGTATTATTCCCAAGCCCTTACATTGGTGCTAATGTAACAGAGGTTATTAATTGTGTCAGTACCTCCTCTAACATTCAAACCCAGGACCTCTGGCTGACTATTTTAATGCTCTACTAATCAAGCTAAACAGAATTTCTCTTCAGCCTAGCAGTTCATTGTGTTAAGTATTTACCAGGATTGCAAAAGATGAAGAAATTAACTATGTATTGGGCAGAAAACTGATTAACTTCTGGTATCTGTGGCATCTTATTGACGTATGTTATTTTAACACTACCAACTTTGATTATTTGATCTTACAACACCGCTGAAAATATGATATGCCTGTTTCAATAAACATTGTCATAAAATGATGTTTCTCGGTTTTAGCCTAATTCACATCGACAACCAAACCAGAATCCCACAAAAGTGACAAAGCATTTTCAACCAACTGATAAAACCATGCGAAGATTTGTAGATAAGATCAATGTTGGTAAGTACATATTACCCTATCAAGGGGATTTTTAAAATTTTTTTTTTCAAAATTCTTATTTTTACTTATATGTACTGTTACACAATATTTTCACTAAATAAAATGACTGAGGCTTTTGTGAGAGTGAAGATCTCATTGTAATGATCCTCTTCATCTAAACTGTTTTCTTCTGTACTTGATAACCTATGAAATGATCCAATCTTAACAAATTTGTTCATGAAACAAGAGTTATGTCCCTTCTTTTTCTGTTTTCTAGATAGACAAGAAGTCGGCTAAATAGCAATGATTCTTTAGATTGATTATGTTACATGGTTTATATACAACTAGGCAGGGTATTTAATGACCTGTTCAACTTGTTTTCAGAGAAAAGTAACGATTTTGTTTCTATAGTTAATGTCAATGGTTATGATGTATTAATCTGTTTTACAGTATATATCTGATTTCTTTCTTTCTCTATAATAGAACAGTACTCAGGCCCTAAATTGACCAGTTCAGCGATGTCAGGACTGATGAATGCTGGCAAGAAAATGAACAATGACAGGTACAGTAATTCTCATAATTTTCTTTACCTGACGACTTACTAACAATAATTGTCAGATAAAAAGATTGATAATAGAGTTTCGTAAATCTCATATGATAAAAGGAAAAGAATGAAGATTCTGTTTATCACATAACTTAATTGATTTTACTTAATTTCATGAAATTTGATAAGATTAATAGAAATTGAATTAGGGATATTCTCTCCTGAAATATGTTTAAACCATGAAGCTATGACATGGAATCTATGTTAACCTTCAGCCAGTGACAGCTCATAGTTTAATGGTGATTGCCAACTAAATGTATTTCAATACAATGGTCAATTTTAGAAATATTTGTTACTATACCAAATTACATTGATTTTCAAATTTCAGCTTCTAATGCTTTGATGTATCATTTATGCTTATGATGAAAAATCAGCTATTATTAAACAGGGGCCCACACTATGGAATCAGTTGCATGGGGAAATAAAATTGAAAAGTCATAACAATGATGATGTCACTTTTCAGCCATGGCATTCATAGCTGATATGAATTTCTTTTGATTGTGCCATAAAATTTAGATATTGTTCTGTGGTTTACAGGTGTCAGCGTAAGGATAAGGCAGATCGAGCTACAGCAGAACAGGTGATGGACCCACGTACACGTATGATACTATTTAAGATGTTGAGTAAAGGCATTATTACTGAAATCAACGGCTGTATTAGTACAGGAAAAGAAGCAAACGTGTATCACGCAACAGCTAAAGACGGCTCTGACCGTGCTGTCAAGGTCAGTTCATACTTACATATAATTGGGTTCGCTGGTTCTGGACATTTTGTTTTTACAATTCCTTTAGTTTGTTGTTGAGTTTATTCCAGAACTAAGTAAAAGCATCTAACAAAAGTAAACATGTGGTAAGAAATCTTAATTTTGCATAGGTTTTTTAAAAAAATAGGATTACAGTAAGTAAAAAGAGTGGCATCTCTTGAAGACATGTTCCCAAGTAATATATGTTGCTCTGTGTATGATCAGGGGTGGGTTGTATTTTTTTACGTTGTTTAATACTATGACAATGTATACTAGGAAATATTTGCTCCAATCTTAAATTGGCCCTCCATGTTCATGGATGAAAAGGAGCAAATATTTGTTATAATTATATAACACTCTTATGATATGAAGGATGAAAGGATCAGGAGTCAGATTCATGTGTAATGGTACAAAGAATGGAAATAATTTGAGGCAAAAATATCCTGGTATACAGTAGAATAATCAGAATAAAGCCATGAACTATATTTGGAATAAGAAACAAAGTTATTTTTGTAGGTGTATAAGACATCCATTCTGGTGTTCAAGGACCGTGACAAATACGTGTCGGGAGAATTCAGGTAAGTACACAAATCTGCATGTGTTTATACTGTGAAATGTGTACTTTGACCTATAGTATTAGGGATTCTTTAAAAAGACAGAAAATATCCTTACAAATTATTGTCCTTTACGATGAATTTCTCCTGTCAGCTTTGAATTTTTTTTACATGTTATATTGTATGAATTAATTAGATCTTTTGAATACATTATCATAGAACATTACACTCCAGTATACATTATCATAGAATATTACACTCCAGTGTACATTATCATAGAATATTACACTCCAGTGTACATTATTATATAATATTACACTCCAGTGTATGTTATCATACAATATTACACTCCAGTGTACATTATCATAGAACATTACACTCCAGTGTACATTATCATAGAATATTACACTCCAGTGTACATTTATCATAGAATATTACACTCCAGTGTACATTATCATAGAACATTACACTCCAGTATACATTATTATAGAATATTACACTCCAGTGTATGTTATCATACAATATTACACTCCAGTATACATTATCATAGAATATTACACTCCAGTGTACATTATTATATAATATTACACTCCAGTGTATGTTATCATACAATATTACACTCCAGTGTACATTATCATAGAACATTACACTCCAGTGTACATTATCATAGAATATTACACTCCAGTGTACATTTATCATAGAATATTACACTCCAGTGTACATTATCATAGAATATTACACTCCAGTGTACATTATCATAGAATATTACACTCCAGTGTACATTTATCATAGAATATTACACTCCAGTATACATTATTATAGAATATTACACTCCAGTGTATGTTATCATACAATATTACACTCCAGTGTACATTATCATAGAACATTACACTCCAGTGTACATTATCATAGAATATTACACTCCAGTGTACATTTATCATAGAATATTACACTCCAGTGTACATTATCATAGAATATTACACTCCAGTGTACATTATCATAGAATATTACACTCCAGTATACATTATCATACAATATTACACTCCAGTGTATGTTATCATACAATATTACACTCCAGTGTACATTATCATAGAACATTACACTCCAGTATACATTATCATAGAATATTACACTCCAGTGTACATTATCATATAATATTACACTCCAGTATACATTATCATAGAATATTACACTCCAGTGTATGTTATCATAGAACATTACACTCCAGTATACATTATCATAGAATATTACACTCCAGTGTACATTATTATATAATATTACACTCCAGTGTATGTTATCATACAATATTACACTCCAGTGTACATTATCATAGAACATTACACTCCAGTGTACATTATCATAGAATATTACACTCCAGTGTACATTTATCATAGAATATTACACTCCAGTGTACATTATCATAGAATATTACACTCCAGTGTACATTATCATAGAATATTACACTCCAGTGTACATTTATCATAGAATATTACACTCCAGTATACATTATTATAGAATATTACACTCCAGTGTATGTTATCATACAATATTACACTCCAGTGTACATTATCATAGAACATTACACTCCAGTGTACATTATCATAGAATATTACACTCCAGTGTACATTTATCATAGAATATTACACTCCAGTGTACATTATCATAGAATATTACACTCCAGTGTACATTATCATAGAATATTACACTCCAGTGTACATTTATCATAGAATATTACACTCCAGTATACATTATCATACAATATTACACTCCAGTGTATGTTATCTTACAATATTACACTCCAGTGTACATTATCATAGAACATTACACTCCAGTGTACATTATCATAGAATATTACACTCCAGTGTACATTTATCATAGAATATTACACTCCAGTATACATTATCATAGAATATTACACTCCAGTGTACATTATCATAGAATATTACACTCCAGTATACATTATCATAGAATATTACACTCCAGTGTACATTATTATATAATATTACACTCCAGTGTATGTTATCATACAATATTACACTCCAGTGTACATTATCATAGAAAATTACACTCCAGTGTACATTATCATAGAATATTACACTCCAGTGTACATTTATCATAGAATATTACACTCCAGTGTACATTATCATAGAATATTACACTCCAGTGTACATTATCATAGAATATTACACTCCAGTGTACATTTATCATAGAATATTACACTCCAGTATACATTATTATAGAATATTACACTCCAGTGTATGTTATCATACAATATTACACTCCAGTGTACATTATCATAGAACATTACACTCCAGTGTACATTATCATACAATATTACACTCCAGTGTACATTTATCATAGAATATTACACTCCAGTGTACATTATCATAGAATATTACACTCCAGTGTACATTATCATAGAATATTACACTCCAGTATACATTATCATACAATATTACACTCCAGTGTATGTTATCATACAATATTACACTCCAGTGTACATTATCATAGAACATTACACTCCAGTATACATTATCATAGAATATTACACTCCAGTGTATGTTATCATAGAACATTACACTCCAGTATACATTATCATAGAATATTACACTCCAGTGTACATTATTATATAATATTACACTCCAGTGTATGTTATCATACAATATTACACTCCAGTGTACATTATCATAGAACATTACACTCCAGTGTACATTATCATAGAATATTACACTCCAGTGTACATTATCATAGAACATTACACTCCAGTGTACATTATCATAGAATATTACACTCCAGTGTACATTTATCATAGAATATTACACTCCAGTGTACATTATCATAGAATATTACACTCCAGTGTACATTATCATAGAATATTACACTCCAGTGTACATTTATCATAGAATATTACACTCCAGTATACATTATTATAGAATATTACACTCCAGTGTATGTTATCATACAATATTACACTCCAGTGTACATTATCATAGAACATTACACTCCAGTGTACATTATCATAGAATATTACACTCCAGTGTACATTTATCATAGAATATTACACTCCAGTGTACATTATCATAGAATATTACACTCCAGTGTACATTATCATAGAATATTACACTCCAGTGTACATTTATCATAGAATATTACACTCCAGTATACATTATCATACAATATTACACTCCAGTGTATGTTATCTTACAATATTACACTCCAGTGTACATTATCATAGAACATTACACTCCAGTATACATTATCATAGAATATTACACTCCAGTGTACATTATCATAGAATATTACACTCCAGTGTACATTTATCATAGAATATTACACTCCAGTATACATTATCATAGAATATTACACTCCAGTGTACATTATCATAGAATATTACACTCCAGTGTACATTATTATAGAACATTACACTCCAGTGTACATTATTATAGAATATTACATTCCAGTGTATGTTATCATAGAATATTACACTCCAGTGTACATTATCATAGAATATTACACTCCAGTGTACATTATTATATAATATTACACTCCAGTGTATGTTATCATACAATATTACACTCCAGTGTACATTATTATAGAATATTACATTCCAGTGTATGTTATCATAGAATATTACACTCCAGTGTACATTATCATAGAATATTACACTCCAGTATACATTATCATAGAATATTACACTCCAGTGTACATTATCATAGAATATTACACTCCAGTATACATTATCATAGAATATTACACTCCAGTGTACATTATCATAGAATATTACACTCCAGTGTACATTATTATATAATATTACACTCCAGTGTATGTTATCATACAATATTACACTCCAGTGTACATTATCATAGAACATTACACTCCAGTGTACATTATCATAGAATATTACACTCCAGTGTACATTTATCATAGAATATTACACTCCAGTGTACATTATCATAGAATATTACACTCCAGTGTACATTATCATAGAATATTACACTCCAGTGTACATTTATCATAGAATATTACACTCCAGTATACATTATCATAGAATATTACACTCCAGTGTATGTTATCATACAATATTACACTCCAGTGTACATTATCATAGAACATTACACTCCAGTATACATTATCATAGAATATTACACTCCAGTGTACATTTATCATAGAATATTACACTCCAGTATACATTATCATAGAATATTACACTCCAGTGTACATTATCATAGAATATTACACTCCAGTGTACATTATCATAGAACATTACACTCCAGTGTACATTATTATAGAATATTACATTCCAGTGTATGTTATTATAGAATATTACACTCCAGTGTACATTATCATGGAATATTACACTCCAGTGTACATTATTATAGAATATTACACTCCAGTGTATGTTATCATACAATATTACACTCCAGTGTACATTATCATAGAATATTACACTCCAGTGTACATTATCATAGAATATTACACTCCAGTATACATTATCATAGAATATTACACTCCAGTGTACATTATCATAGAATATTACACTCCAGTGTACATTATCATAGAATATTACACTCCAGTGTACATTATTATAGAATATTACATTCCAGTGTATGTTATCATAGAATATTACACTCCAGTGTACATTATCATAGAATATTACACTCCAGTGTACATTATCATAGAATATTACACTCCAGTGTACTTTATCATAGAATATTACACTCCAGTGTACATTATCATAGAATATTACACTCCAGTGTACATTATCATAGAATATTACACTCCAGTGATCAATGTCAAGTAAAATGATGGCATTGTCTGTTAATATTAAATTTATTTTGTTAAGGTAAGATTAGCTACAAGAAGTAGAAATACCAATAACAATGAGTCTGTTCTTACCTCTAGATATACTTATACTGTGTACCTCCACACATTGACATATCTTTACAATCTGTGTACCAGATAATACACATGTATACTTATACTGTCTACCTCCACACATTGACATATCTTTACAATCTGTGGAC